TATTTTTATGAAACAGTGGAATTCATCCAAATCCCCCTCTTTTCAAAAATATTTTGATATCCCATTTCAAACTGTGGTTAGTATATGGAGACTTTATCTTAATTGTTTACTTGATAAGTATTCGAAGGAGCGCTTTTTTTTTTTATAGATTAAGCCCAGATAATGACTTAACGAGCGCATCATAAAAGTAAATTGATGAATAAATTGCGAGAGTTTAGTAATTGCTTTATCACGTAATGACGAACATGGCTCATGACTGTTTCTTTCCACTGAAAATTGAAGTACATCTATAATTCCAAGGATGAAGATTTTGAATAATCGCTTCGCAGATGGCATAGATCCATATTGAATTTCATCTATACACTTAACAAGTCAAATTTCCAACAATTTGCACGCGTCGTGAATATACATTTCATTGCCATCGGAGTATAATTAATTAGCTTACGATTAACTCTAAAAGAACTGGGTGAGCGGTAAAATGTTTGATTTGGATGTGTCGGATCTCGTATTTAAATCAAAGTACATGAGAGGTAGAGAGCCTAAACTTAATACGCATCAACGACGCGATTTGCATGCACGAGATTCAAGCCAAGCTGGAATATTTGGGTACCTTGTATATCCAAAAAGGAAAGAAAAAAGGAGCATTTTGAAATTAAATAGCAGATCCCGTTTGTCTAGTATAGCCCGTGAGATATAAAAAATTATTAATTTATTAACCTTTATAATTTAATTCCGTTTCGCTTGGCTGTAGTGATATCAAAAGCTGTAATGAATTTAAAAAAAAAAATGAAGTGAACAGCGACGGTCAATAGGTCAAAGAAACAAGAAAAGAAGAAGATAAAAACGAAGGAGCCTTCTTTTTCTTATCTGGAGGCGTGCTGCCCAGCCGCTTTATTGGATCATATAATACTGGGACAAGCATGTCCACATCATTCGCATCTTTCGAAGTGCGGACGGTACTCTTCAATCAAACCCTATTGGATTCAACGGGAGACAACCATACAAATGATACCTCATCTTGGTTAAACACGCGGTGTCGTCGCTAAACTTTTAATTTATTTAATATCGTTCCTAAATTTAGTTTAATATGTAATATCATCTCTAAACTTTTAATTTATTCAAATTATTATATTCAATCTGGTCCGTGAATTACATTAATTTATTCAAATTCATAAATAATATTGAACATTTTCATATAATTGAGGGATTATGTTGAACATGTATCAAAATTTCAAAGACCACATCGAATAAATTAAAAATCCGATGACGACATTGCACATTGGGCTAAAATTTAGTGACCACATTGAATAAATTAAAAGTTTAGTGATTACATTGCATGTCGAGTTAGAGTTTATGGGCCGTTTATGTCATTTTCCCGAACAAGTCATTACACGGATCAGGAACATCGAATCCATCGCGATAATTTGACTATACACATGGAATTATCTAAACCAACCCATTGTCACGGTGGCATCGTGTACGCATTCGGTCCATACAAGGAATTTTTTTCACCATGTACAGCAAGCAGACAAAGGAGCGGCCGGCTCGATGTCCCCCCCATGTTTCTTTCGATTTAGCGCTTGTAATTAGCAAGGGGGAAACAACACACAAAGATCCAAAAGTCTTAACACGGTTTGGTTGCGAAAAGCATCTTTGACTAATTCAATTCGTAACATTGTGGTGGCGTTTTGCTCTTTGCTCTGTCTTTGCACGGGAGAGGGTGTGTTTTCGGACATGCGATAGGGATTTACAAAAGTGGGAGGGAGGGGTTTTCAATTTGGCTCCCACCCCATTTATTCCAAAAGATGTCGGTGCCCACGCGTGGATGTTGACATGAGTCATCTCCCCTTTCATATATGCGCAAATCGCTCACCATCGGCAATCAATCATGATCGAAGAAATTTGTCAAGACTAAACTTACGGCAATTATGACAATTCAGTTTGTAAAATTTTTTTTTTCTTTTATAATCGAGGTATCCGGCCACCATACAAGCACCTCGACTATTCCACGGGGAGACTAAGATAAAGAACCCACCGCCACGCCCCTCACTTAAATCATAAGTACTCAGCTGGAGAATCAAACCTGAGACCAATGCGCCTAACCACACAATCCCAAGTACGCCCTAACCAATTGAGCTACCCATGGGTGGGTAGTTCTAAATTCTTTTTTAGCCAATTCAATTATAAATTTTTTGTATTTATACAAATTCAGCCCATTCGATCGATTTTGACCGGCCGGTGCTGATGTAGGCGCCGGCTGACACTGACGTGGATAATTTTTTATGATATATTATTTTTTTCAATTTTTCTTTTTCTTTTCTTCCTTTTTTTCCCCATAGTGACCGTCGAGGCTAGTCTTGCTATGGCTTCGTGCGGCTACGGGTGCAGCCTCGCCCACGGCCATCGAGGCCATGGCCAGGCTAGCCTTGCCCAGATCTAGGCGAAGCCGCCTCACCCATAGCCCCTAGGCCTCGCGCCTAGACTGCGAGAGAAATTGTACTGACCTTCAAGAGCCACACAAACAGAGCAGTCTGGGAGCAAGGCCTGGGGATCGCGAGCGAGGCCATAGCGAGCTGGCCTCACCTAGTGGCCGGCGAGGGGAAAAAGGAAAAAGAAAAAAAATTAAAAACTAAATTTCGAAAAAATAAAATATTATTAAAAATTGTCCACGTCAGTGTCAGCCGGATGAACTGAATTAGCACAAACGCAAAAGATTTAGGACTGAATTGGTAGAAATAAAAATAAGGGCTTAGGACTAAATTAACACAATTACAATAATTTCAGGACTTTTTTTGCAATTTTTCCACCATCATTTGATAGATAACGATGGATATTTTGATTACCTTTTTCCGGCTTTTGTTCTCGCAAAAAAAAAAAAGGCAAATACCTGTAGATAATGATGTTATTGCGTATAACTCACCTCGTCATATTTTCATAGTTTATAAAAATGGATGAAGCTATTCCCCCCTAATAAAGCTAAAAACGCCCTTTTAATTGCGGAGTAACCAAAGTACTCTTCAATCCCTTTTCTATCATCTCTCTCTCCAACCCACTTGCATTCTTTTCCCCTGTCTCTCTTTTCAAATTCTCTGCAACTCGTCTCTTTCCTTCCGTTTTTGGCTTGTGTGTTAGAGCTCCTTCACAACCCTAACGCCCACATATAATAAAAGAGCCACGTATCATTGGAAGAACTTAAGTGTATGTAAGATACAAGTTTTAAGACTTAAATGTATGAAGTTCACGTCTTAGAATTTAAGTGCTTGAACATGACAAGTTGTGGATTTGCATGATAATTATTGAAAGGAGAAGAAGAGAGATTTGAACGGGCGTATTCTTACAAAGTACAAGCATTATGAGTTATCTTTGAACTTTGGCTGAGTAACACAGGACCTAAAGAGTGAGATTAGCCACACACACACACATATATATGGGCCAATTGTCATAAACATTTTATAAGATTTCCTCGAACGATTCTTGTGGTTATATGGGGAACGAGCGTATGTTTAAGGCACGAAAATAGAATGGAAAAGAAAAGCAAGAACAGATCCATAGCTAAGGCACAAAGAGAGCAACATAACTAAAGATCTCAGGGAGGTGCGCAATGAATGCCTCGTACATGATTCTGCCTTGTAACGCAGGAACATCACAGTAATAGTAATGGATCTCCCTCTCTCTCTCTCTCTCTCTCTTCATTATGACCCTTGGTTCTGCTCGAGGAATATGCGAAGTCTTTATTAGGTTACCACCCAAACCCAGAAGCTCGTAATCAACGGCCGTTCAAGACGCAGTTGAATTGAACAAGAAGGTGGTTGAATTTTAAATCATCCTTTAAAGACACATCGATGGCACTAGGGATACGGCCGAAACATAGGCAGCCTTCACTTTCAGCGACTGGTGACTGCTGTACAGCTAGCTATCTTACAGTTCTTTCTTCTTCTTTTATGTGTTTTTTAGAGCTAAATGTCTAGAGCTTGATCTTTATGTTCGTTGATTATGAGCAACTGAAGCAGAGAACTCCACTAGCATAACCCTTTCCACTTTCTAATCAGACCCATCTTTTCTTTTGCCAAAAATTTTCAATTTGGCATCCATGTTGGCAGGCCAAAAGTGTATCAATAGAAGAGTCCCACCTACAAAAGAGCTCACACCAAACATAGCATTGAATGTCTAAGATGGGTATGAATGAGTCAGATGGGATATATGAGCTAACTAGCTAAGGAATGCAATTCAACATATCGAACGACTCTCAAATTGAAAGATGCACCATAATTAATAACCAATATTACATGCGATTATATATCATTTCTGACGGTGTTACCATTATAAAGTCTCAATACATTTATCACGCGATAAATAATTAACTCTAAATTAAGTCGGAGAACTACATATATCAACAGTATCTCCACGTTTTGTGTCCTTTTGAAATACTTTAAAAGAATAAGATTCCATTTTGAAAGTTAATTTGAGAAAAAAGTTCCATTAATAACATTCTTCATTAGAAAACATCTCTATTTATTAGTCAAATATAAGGAACAGTGGCCATTTGCGTGGTTTGGCCGAAAAAGATGAACCCTTTGGGGCTGTAAATGTAGCCCGCTAAAAGTGGCCGCCGAGTTACAATTGAGGATAAGCCCATTAGAGAAGCAACTGCCAATTTAAGCCACGGTTCGATGTAGGGGTTTGCCCCGTCCCGTTGTGAAACCGGACCGGATCGGACCAAAATCAGCCGGTTCTGGGTGATCCTCGAGAGATCCGTCCAGTTTGTGTATCAGTTTCTGGGGGGTGTTGTGGGTCTGGGAAATGAGTCTGAGCTTTGAGGTTTTGCGGGTTGATCGCAGGCAAAAAGAGGGAAGGTGCAGTTTGTGTATTAAGTGGCGGTGAAGTGGTTTTTTGCTTTGCTCGTTGGAATTGGTAAGCTGTGCATTTTACAACTCTCATTGGTAGTCTGGAGGGCTTCTTTTTTGTGAAGAAACCGAAAAAAAAAAAAGTGCAACCGGTCCCGGTCCAACCGGAGAACCAGACCGGGACCCGGTCTAGTCCGGTGTGTTTCTCGAATAGACAGGGTCGGTTTCCGGTTCCACGGTGGGAACGGACCCTACTTGGACCGATCACCCCTGGTTTGATGTGCATCTGGAGAGAAGAAAACCCCGGCCAATTTGCCGCTAAGACGCGAGTTTCAGTTTCGGAAACTGGGAATCTGCACTCTTGTCGACAATGCATTAGATCTCCCGAGTCAAATGCGCCTCCAGAACTTAACCAGGACATCACCTGCCCTGAGGTCAGGCAAGAACTTCCTGAGTCAACATCACTTAACGACTGTCGCTGTCGCCCGCCATCCAGAAAGTCCCGATTCAAGTCTTGAGCCTGACCCGATACGGGAATTTGATATCCACGCTCGTCTAGCGCGTCTGTGCCTTCGAGAATGCGGACAATTCAAATCCCATCACCTGTTCGACGAAATGCCGCAGAGAGCAGCGCGGGCTACAACTATATGCAAGGTGATCCATGGCCAGGGCACGAAATATGGAATTGGATCAAAAGGGTCGCTAGGGAATGCCATTCTCGATCTTTATGCTAAATGTGGGGATGTGGATTACGCGGAGAAGGCGTTTAGTCGACTTGAAGGGAGAGATATCCTGGCTTGGAACTCGCTTCTTTCGATGTATTCGAGGCGGGTTTCCGTTCAACAGGTTAAGTGGCACATTGGGCTACTTAAGCGTAATGGATTGGTGCCAAATGAGTTCACTTATTCAATCGTTTTTTCCGCTTGCGCAAGGACTACGGATGTTGACTTTGGGAAACAAGTACACTGTGATCTTGTTAAAGTGGGATGGGAGTTCAGTTCGTTTTGTGAAGGTTCAATTATCGATATGTATGCCAGGTGTGATTGTCTCTTGGACGCAAGGCAGATTTTTGATGGGGTGTTAGAACCTGATACAGTTTCTTGGACAGCAATGATTGCAGGGTATATTCGAGGAAATTTGCCAGAGGAGGCACTCAAAGTTTTCGAGAAGGTGAAGAAGGCTGGCCGTGAACCAGACCAGGTGGCATTTGTTACTGTCATTAGCGCTTATGTTGGTGCAGGAAATCTTGAGGGGGGACGTGAGCTGTTTTCCCAGATGCCAAACCCTGATGTTGTGGCATGGAATGTGATGATTTCAGGTCATGCTCAAAGAGGATATGAGGTGGAAGCACTCCACTTTTTCGAAAAAATGAGGAGGGCTGGCACAAAATCAACAAGATCCACCTTAGGTAGCATATTGAGTGCCATTGCTGCTCTAGGCGCCACTGAGTGTGGCTTGTTAGTTCATGCTGAAGCAATTAAACAGGGTTTGAGCTCTAGTGTTTATGTTGGAAGTTCTTTGATAAGCATGTATGCAAAGTGCGGGAGAATGGAAGCTGCGATGAAAGTTTTTGATGCTTTAGAGGAGAAAAATGTGGTTTTGTGGAATGCAATGCTTGGGGGGTTTGCACAAAATGGTTATGCCAGTGAAGTCGTGGAACTGTTTACCCAGATGAAGAGATGTGGTTTTCAGCCCGATGAATATACCTATACTAGCATTTTGAGTGCATGCGCAGGCTTGGAATACATAGAAGTGGGTCGACAATTGCACTGCACCATCATCAAGAACAGGTTGGCATCAAATTTGTTTGTTGGAAATGCGCTGGTGGATATGTATGCCAAATCCGGGGATCTGGATGAGTCAAGGAAACAATTTGAATGCTTAAAGAGCCGAGACAAAGTTTCCTGGAACGCAATCATCGTTGGTTATGTGCAGGGGGAAGAAGAGAATGAGGCCTTCAAGATGTTTCAACAGATGAATTTAACTGGTATAGTGGCCGATGAAGCAGCTTTGGCAAGCATATTCAGTGCTTGTGCTAATACTCAAGCTCTGGATCAAGGCAAGCAAGTACACTGTCTTGCTGTGAAATCTGGTCTAGAAACGAGTCTTTATGCTGGAAGCTCTCTTATTGACATGTATGCAAAGTGTGGGGACATTGGAGCAGCTCTTGTCGTTCTCTTGCACATGCCCGAGAGAAGTGTTGCTTCTATGAATGCTATGATTGCTGGTTATGCTAAAGATAACTTGGATCAAGCTATAAACATGCTAGGAGAGATTCATGACATGGGAATGACTCCGAATGAGATAACTTATTCAAGCATTTTAGATGCATGCGGTGGAGTTCAAGGGTTGATTTTAGGAATGCAAATCCATTGTTGTGTATTAAAAAGTGGTATTTGGTACCATGAGGACTTCTTGGGTGTCTCCCTTCTGCGCATGTATATGAACTCTGAGAGTACATCAGATGCATGTATTCTCTTCTCAGAATTTCCAAATCCAAAGAGTTCTGTATTATGGACTGCTCTAATTTCAGGGTACACTCAAAATGATTGCAATGAGGAGGCTTTGAAGGCTTTTCGGGAAATGCAAAGACACAATGCACCACCAGACCAAGCCGCATTTGTTAGTATCCTAAAGGCTTGCTCCATCCTATCTTCACTGCGAGATGGTAGACAAATACATCCTCTCATGTTTCACTCTGGTTTTGACTTAGATGAGTTAACTAGCGTTGCTCTTCTAGACATGTATGCTAAATGTGGAGACGTGAAAAGTTCCGTACAAGTATTTAATGAGATGACTAGTAAAACTAGTGTGATTTCATGGAACTCGATGATTGTTGGTTTTGCTAAAAATGGCTTTGCAGAAAAAGCACTACAAACATATGATGCAATGAAGCAATCAAATGCTGTTCCTGATGACGTTACTTTCCTGGGTGTTCTTACGGCCTGTAGTCATGCGGGAATGGTAGTGGAAGGCCATAATATCTATGATGAAATGGCAAATCACTACGGGATTCAGCCGAGAGTAGATCACAGTGCTTGTATGGTTGATCTTCTTGGGCGTTGGGGGTTTCTTGAAGAAGCAGTGGCCTTCATTGATAAATTAAAGTCTGAACCCGATGCTATGATTTGGACCACATTACTTGGTGCTTGTAGATTGCATGGAGATGAAATAAGGGGAAAGTTGGCCGCTGAGAAGCTCATTGAGTCAGAGCCGCAAAATTCTGCACCTTATGTCCTGTTGTCCAATATATATGCCGCATTGGGAAACTGGCAGGAGGTAAATTCATTGAGGAGGCAAATGAAGGAAAAGGGAGTGAAGAAGTTGCCAGGGTGTAGCTGGATTACAGTGGGAAATAAGACTAATTTGTTTGTAGCAGGAGATGAGTCCCTCCCTCGTGCTGGTGAAGTTCACACACTTCTAAACAATTTGACATCTCTAATTAAAAAGGATGAATATATCAAAGAAGAGAATCGTCTCTATGGTATATAGATTGTAATTGTTCTTATTTGCCAAGATTTGGATCTATCAAATGGATGGGAAAGGTGAGGAGAGACGAGACTGCAGAATGAAATGCTCATAGAGAAAGTGACTTTCTCATACTCAAAGGTCTGATTTGCAGCTTATCCTGCTTTGCTTCCCCTGGCAGAGGAGTTATAGCTTGCTTATTCTGGACCTCAGGTCTTGTCAGCATTTGCATCCAAGTAAGAGTCCAAATCAGGGAAATCCTGAAGGATCATTCATATCCTTGCCAACAGGTGCTCTGTAAATGGATCTTCTTGATCACCTTCATATGCAGGAAAGAAGATCTAGGAGATCAGTTGTTAACTGTAATTCTTGGATGGGGTGGCATTTCCAAAAAGTTACGATGTTATCTTCGACAGTTGGTATGATGAACCAGAGCTTCAGCCAGTAAAGAGTGGTATATAGCGTTCCCTTTTGTTCTGTAATTCATCGCTTGAAGGAAAGTCCTTTTGTTTATTAAACTTTAATTTGGTACAAAGTGTTTTTGGCAGGCCAACAATTTAGGCATGGGAATGATGTGTTCATGACCTATCGAAGCCACCTCTCCTCAAATCATTTGGAGGTCCATAAGGAGCTTCATACATTTGACTAAATCGCCTTATTCTCGGTCAACTGCAATGGACAAGTGCTTGCTCATCCATGCAATTAGGTAAAAATCTCAAGCTCGAAGGCCCGGTGCGTGCAATGATCCCTCTGGAATCCCAAATTGCCTTGTATATTCTCACAAATCATAGAAGTAGAAGAGGGTTCTCAGTGTTCTGTCAAGACAGGAATTACATATCCAGACATGTTATATCATCTTCCAAAGTTGGAAAAAAGCAACCTTTTTAAGTTTGCATCACAAATCAGGACGAGTTTCCATTCCTGGAGGGTTCTTATGATGAGTCCTGAAATAATATTGCAAAGAGACGGTGCTCTAAAATTTCCCTAGAACAGTAACCCCACTCTTGTTTTTTTGCTGTTTCAACAAGGATCGACGTGTGCTGTGGTGGGGGCAATTGAGTCCATGGGAGTCGATAAGTGCTGCTCAACATCACAGCCTCCAATAGCTTTGCAATTCGTTCAGTTTTGACATCCGTCCGCGGCGGGAGATATGGTGATCGATCGAGATCTTATCCTCAAATGCTAATCACCATTATCCTTTCTTCTGTGTTCGTAAATCCACTGTATCATCAAGGGTTGATGATAGATGGGCCATATGTCATCAACTGTACATTCATCTATGTTATGAAAATAAATATCCAGTATATTGCTCTATCTCAAACTTCAAAAAGATTGCAAGTGATTAATGGGCTCTTTTGTGCAACAAGAGCGTGCCCGTCGCAAAGTTATTGCGACCCACTAGAGGCGGACTCCGAAAAAAGTTGTTGCAAGATGGCTCACAAACCACTAGACAAGCACGGATATCCTTTTTTCTAGGTGCCGGGTGCGTTCCATGGGTTCTTCAAATTCTACTGATTACTACTTGATTTATCAATCATTTTTTCATAAAGTGATTATTACGCTAGAGGTGCCATTAACTTATTCTAATTGATTGACTCATTACGCTAGATTAGTCTAATTTCCATCTATCGGTTCCTCTTTTCTTTTAAGGTAAAAGCTTTTCATGTGATCTTAATTAATTTTGTTTCCAACATCTAATTCTAGATGTCCATGCATTAAAGGTGATGAGTAACAAACCTTGCAATTATCAAAGAATGACTAAGCTACTGTGACAATATTTAAACGCACTCACGAGATTTCCTGTAAAGCAAAAAGTTCTGAATATGACAGTAATGAACATGCAAATCATTGCTAAAAATAGAACCGGTAAGTAAGGCAATTGATAAATCATAAATGGCAATGAAATCACTCTCCTAAAATGCAACTCTATAAAGAATACATGGAATAGACTTCCTCAGCATGCAAATTTCTAATGGCAAATTTTATGTTTTCTCCAAATACTTGAAATGATATCGAATCTAAAATGACATGTGAGCCGGCCCAATAAACCAAGCAGCTCATGCATCACATCCATGTCAGTCGTATACAAAAAATGTACGTTTTTAAATTTATTTGTTTTAAGAATTTTACTTTTTTTTGGCCAGAAAATGAGTTTCAAGATCCGAATTCACGATTTTATCGGAGTAAGAATAACATGCTAAAATTGAACTAAACTAATTAAACATCAGTGACCCTAACTCTTGCCTCTCCACCCATTTTCTCTATCCCACCAAGAATAGTCTAGTGCGTCCTCAATCCTTGAACTCGGTTTTATGCACAAAATGCTCGATTCACTACTGTCTAAAAGCTTTGAGAAGCAACCTCGTCTCGTATTCTCTAATTTCAGTGCCTGCTGACCAAGGAGTGCCCCATCACGTGTTCGTCTAATTGCGTACGCGCTCCCACCTGTACAAACCGCCTTTCATTTATCTCACCGACAAGCTTAACTATGAGCTAACTGCTGTTAGACCCAGCCTTTCGGTTCAAGTCCGTGCCCCACATCACCGAACCCTTCACCAGAACCCAGGTTTACTTCAAGAAGAAAGAACGAGGAAGCTTCCTATTGCAGCTTCGGCCTCGAGGTGGATTGCCCAGCAAGGCGAATTCCCTTTTTGACGAAGCTGTCCGCTTGAAGTTTGGCATCAGGAGCAGAAATTTCCCATTTGGTAGCTTGAGCAGCGGATAAATGTTGGTACTTTCTTGGATTTCAGCTCAATGAATGGAAATGGGTTCTTGAAAATCGCAAAGATTTGTTGGTACTTTGAATGCTCAGAGACTCATTTTGTTTTTGAATTGTATTTGCACCGTGTCTGATCTACTCTTTGCTTAAATGGGTTTCCTTGTTTTAAAGGTTACCAGCTGGCTTTGGTGTTGTGGGGAGGGATGATGACTGTTATATTCGTTAAACCGACTTTGAGGCTATAGTGACTAATGATGGAAATGGAAGTGGCGGACACACGGATTATGAGTGGATTTTAGCAGGAATTCATCTGTCAATATGAGGCCTTTGTTCAAGAGGGGTGTGAGTTTTGCCTGCCAAATGGTCACAGATCACTGTAAAGTCCGGGTCTTTGGTCCAATCAATGGATTTACCGCGATGGGTTCGTTGTTCTCTTTCCTTGTAGCAATAACCTGTGCATGTCTGTTTGTCTTACCCATTTTTGAACCTGCCATATACACATCCGAGATTCCCAAAACTAGCGGTTTGAATTCGATGCGCACATGCAATGTGTTTGAAGGGAGTTGGATCCCCGAAGAAAGTTACCCCCTGTATAATGCCTCGCAATGTCCATTTGCCGAGCGTGGTTTTAATTGCTTGGCTAATGGCCGCAGAGATAGAGGTTATACAAAATGGAGGTGGAAGCCTAAGCATTGTGATATCCCCCAGTTTGATGTTCTCGCGATTCTAGAGTATCTTCGTGGCAAGCGTATTGTCTTTGTCGGTGATTCGTTGAGTAGGACACAGTGGGAGTCTTTCATATGCATGCTCATGACGGGCGTGGACGACAAGAGGAGTGTATATGAAATAAATGGGAATCAAATCACTAAACAGATCAGGTTTCTGAGCGTGGGGTTTAGCTCTTATAATCTCAGGGTCGACTTCTATCGGTCAGCATTCTTGGTGCAGCCTGGTCCAGTGCCCAAGCGGGCACCCAAAAGGGTCAAATCGACCATTAGATTGGACAAGTTGGATGATATTAGCAAAGAGTGGATTGATTCTGATTTTCTGATCTTCAACTCAGGGCATTGGTGGACACCTACGAAGCTCTTTGAGATGTAAGTCATCCGTGAGTACTTTCAGTCAGATCCGTGTGACTGGAAGTATAACTTCTTTTCCATGACCTTTACCTATCTATTTTTGTTTAGTCTGTTTTAATAGTCTTGAAGAGGGTTTGTCTGCTCAAAACGTATATGCGATGTCTACCTGCAAGATCTTTTTTTTCACAGATCTCCAATTTTACTAATTAACCATTCTGTGACATGCTTTTCTCAAGAGGTGCACCTTTTACTCTAGTTGGGCATCTTAGCTGTGTGTATTATGCTGATGCTAGGATATGCTAAATGCTAAATTGTATGTTAGAAGTCTTGTGGAAGCTATGAAAATGATGAATTGAAGCAACTAAATGAAATCATATTCTAGTTTCCTTCTAAAAAACTATGATATTCTTCCCAAATTCCAAATTAAGAAATGGCCTTTATTTCATTTAGATGGGCTTGGCTAGATGTAATTTTCACTCAATAAATGAGCTTTAGCAGACGTTTTCCTTGATTATCAGCACCTGACCCTGTGAATCATTTCTGCTTCTCTGTACTTGGATAACTTGGAGGAAATCTTTGTCTGTGGTAGATAATCATTCCATGCTGTGTCAAAACAAATATCTGGGAGAAGCCTACAAAAATGTGATGCTTTTTGGCATACCAGGAAATTTATTCGGTGGAAGCACGTTAAAATGTTTAACCCGATGGCAATAACTTACAGTTCTTCTGTGACAGTGGCATCTGAAAAAAAAAAATGTTCTCCCTTAAGTGATGTCTTTCTGTGCTACTTGTTTGGTAGAGTTGTTGAATGAGCCGTTGGGCCATTTTTGTGGCTGTATAGTTTCTTGCCAGAGATTCTACATGGTGAATAAATTTTAGCATGGATCACCTTGCTTTGTGGGATAGGGCTTAGAAGTGATTGCTGTTGACCTGGAATAGAATTCTAACATGCCTTTGCAGACAGGGGTTGTTATTTTCAGCACGGTGGATCCCTGAAGCTCGGGATGCCAATTGCATCAGCCTTCAAAGCTGCATTAAACACTTGGGCATCTTGGGTTGAGAGCAATGTCAACCCCAATCGGACGTCTGTGTTCTTCCGGACATTCGAGTCTTCTCACTGGAGGTATGTAAGCAGAATCGTAATTTCATACCCTTTCACAGTTGTTGTAATGGCTGCATTGGCTTTTTTGGTGGGTTGGAGTGCTACACTGATAATTTATTTTTGACGTACTCCATTTAACAGTGAAATCAGTTTATGTCTTCAGCTGTTGGTCTAGGAAAAAGTTCCCTTTCAGTCTTCTTTCCTCTGACAATTCACATTAGTTCATTGATGTTGTCCTTGCGAAGTACAAATTAAAGGATAAAGCGCAATACAATGTGCTGTGACTAATGTTAGTGTAGACGAAGAAAAGAACAAAAGGGTTGAGTCTCTTTTGCTTGTTTAAATATGTATATTTTGCCAGTCTAGGAATGTGGTGAGGACCTCAAACCAGTGATTTCGCTTGTTTCAGCGGTCGCCGTCGTAATTCCTGCAAAGTTACTCGAAGACCCTCCTCTAAAACCAATGGGAGGGACAAGAGCTCGATCTCGGACATAATAATGAAGGTCGCGAAGCAAATGGCGTTTCCAATACACATGCTTCATGTTACTCCGATGGGGGCATTCAGGAGCGATGCGCACGTCGGTACTTGGAGTGATAATCCATCGGTGCCCGATTGCAGCCATTGGTGCCTACCAGGAGTTCCCGATATGTGGAACGAGATCCTCTTCTCCTATATGCTGTCCAAGAACGGTGAACTTTTCCAATGAGCAACAACTGTTGCAACTTGCGGCTTAAATTCTGTTGTACATGAACTGTTTCCTTGTTACCCTGATTGAGAGTTCGAGGAATATAGGATGTAGTGCTTGGTGTGATCTTTGGAGTTGATAGTGTGTGCTGTCTGTCTCGCTGTTGGTTGAGGAACTATGATTCTTTCTGAGATGATGTTTCCTGTGGGTTCCTTTGTACTGCTGATCAGCAAGGAAAGGAGATGTTATGAACAGATTTGATATGCAATTGGAAACTAACAATCTGCATTTGAGTCATTGTAGGGGACTATCATGGATCTTTTAGCCTGATAAATTGAATCAACAGGAGCATAATGATTCTGCTTGTGGTTACGGAACTCAACATTTTCTTGTTGAAACAAAGGTCCTGATTGGAATTTAAGTGAATGAACAAGAACATAATCCATATTGTAATCTACCAGCCACACTTCTAAGTTTATAATACACTTTGAACTGAAAATTAAGCTTCAGTCATCTTTCATGCAACTTCTGTTCTCAAAGCCAAACTGAACTGTCTTGAAACCTCAAAACGAAGCTTCACACTCTCTTTTCTTTTTCCCTTCCTGTCTTCCCATGTAGATTTTTAGGAGTAGAGATTGATCTCCTTGTTGAACATCCAGCTGAACCTTACACCCTGTGGGCCCATCATCCGGGCTCGCTCCTCAGCCCGCTCCTGGAGCCTCCTGATCCGGGGCGCGAGCCCGCAGACGAAGTCCTGAGCCCGCCTCCCCTCGGCCGTCAACCCCTCCAGCTTCTCCAGCCTCCACCGGCCGATCAGGAACTCGAGTATGTCCGCGTAGTCGTCGGCGGTGTACACGCCCAGCCGCTGCGCCACGGCCGAGAAGTGCTCGAACAGCTTCGGGTCCTGCCCGTCGTACATCAGGTGCGCGGGCATCGTGATCTTCTTGCGCATCATGTCGGCGATCGCGACCATCGCGCCCGCGGGGTCCACCTCCAGGAGCTTCTCGACGATCCTCGAGTAGGCGTTCTCGTGGCGCTTCTCGTCGGCTGCGATGGTCCCGCATATGCGCGCGAGCACCGGGTCGCCGCCCTCCTTGGCCAGCCGGGCCGTGTTGCCATGGGAGACGAACGTGGCTCGCTCCTGGAACGACGTGTAGACGAATCCCAAGTACGGGTTGTTTTCCGTTCCAGGGTCCTGTCAAGAATCGAAGAATTCGGAGTACATTTTCTATCAAACAAGTGTCTTAACGACAGACATTTAAAAAAAAAGACAACATGTAACAATACATCAGAACGAAATTTGTCTCTACTTTTTGGTCTACCAAATACCTCTTGATGTTTTCAAATTGGCAAATAAAACACCTTTTTCGAAAGAGGAATAGTTTATTTAGCTATCTGATTGAATGTTGGATCTTTTCAATGGCAATGTCGAAACATGTCCTCCAATTACTTGGATAGTCGCCTTATTCGAATTTGACAAGCAAGCGACAATGTACAATTAAAACAATCATCGCATCGTCAAATCTGCAAAATCTGATTCACCAGCATTAACAAATCAACACATAGATGCAAGAAATGTACATTGTTTTACCATTCAATTTCCGTCGGTTATTTCAAAACGAGACCAAACTTGTCCCGTGCGTGCATGTTGGAGCCATTGAGCATATACGTACCATTCCGGATCCGATCAGGTACTGGACCGTCCTCTCGATCATGAGCATGTCGACCCGGCCCGACAGGTAGAGGTACGCCCCCGTGCCGGTTCTCCTCGGCGGTCCAGGCCCGGGTCCACGCGGCCCACGGGCACGGGCTGGCCCCGGTCTCGTCCCGGACCCCGTCGAGGGTGTTGATCATGGTCTGGTACGTGGGCAGGGCGTCCTCGGTGACCATGTCCCCCACGAGCACCACGAAGTACTCGTCGGGGAGCTCGGCCGTCCGCTCCCGGAGCTGCGCCACGCGGTCCGTGAACTCGTCCGTGGGCAGGGACGAGTCCGGGACGAACTCCTGGGGCTGCCAGCACTGCTCCACCGGCTTCAGCAAGGGGAGCACGTTCTGGGAGGCCCACCCCTCCAGGGACCTGAACACCTCCACCTTCTCGGGTGGCATCGAGTGGGTCGTTCTCTGGTGCTTGAGGGCGGCCGCCGCGGAGATGGGCGGCGGGCGGCGGAGGCTGGGGGCCGACGGCGGAGGGACGCGGCGGCGGGGGGCGGCGGGGGCGTCACGTGGGGCCCATGCAGGGTGCCTTGCTAGGGAGGAGGAGGCTTGCATGGCTGTCCCCGTGTGGGTGCGCGGCGGGGTTGTGCGGCGTGGGGATGTCTGGAGCGTGCGAAGTGCGATGGCAATTGGGGAAAAGGAGGGTCGATGTTCATTTATAAGTACAAAGGGGCAACAAATTGACCTCAATGTCCCCAGAAAATCACACGTATGCCATCGGCACGTGCTTTCGGATCTTGCTTGGTCCTTTTGGTTTGTTTTGCTCGTTAGGGTCCAAGGTTGTTCGGATTTAGCATCAGCATCATCATCCAACAAGAGGACTTGGTCGTTCCGTCCGTCCGACACCTGATAAACCTTATTTCCCACAAGCAAAGATTACACTTTCAATAAAATCGGTGGCGGGATTTCCCGCGTCTAAGATTATAGCCGGACCGAGACGCTCGCCGCGCTACCCACCGAATCCTTTGAACAGCGGTCGCTCGCCGCCCCGACAAGTCGCGTCCGAATTTTCCATCCAAAAATGAAATCTTTAAAAATTCTACGGAAGGAAATAAGAAAAAAGATTTCAGAGCGACTCGGGTTATAATATTATTGATCATTGCTTTTGATTCCTCAGTGAGCGGGAAAAAGGGAGTGCTCGAGAAGGGCATAATGGTCATTCCACAGAACAGAAAAGGGTGGCAAAAGCAATTTCCCGGAAAACGTTGAAGGAAGCGCCATGCCTAGTACAAAACCAGGGGTGCAGTTGTTTTCTAGAGAGAGAGAGAGGGGGAAACTGTGGGAATAGAAAATGCAACTTTAATTACAGCCTCATTAGTTGACAGCACAATGACTGCGACACGTCATCGATTCCTAGTCCCCACTAATCGATGTTTATAATTAATCAACCCGATGCACACAATCGGACAAGTGGCCCCGAGATCTCTGGTGTATCTCTTTATTTATTTATTTATGTCGCAATAGATTATTCTGAAGTGGTCCTATTAATAAATAAATGCCTCCGAGATTCTAATTAAAGTGTATACACTGTATAAGCAAAAAAAATTAATGGTCCCTTGCCTGGTCACTGAACGAGCGCTTTCGGGACATTCGTGGGTATCGGAAACGGGCTATACAGCGCTCGCTCCCGGTAATTATACTGAAGGGCGGAATCGATTGAAGATCATGAGGCGTCTCGAAGAAGAGAACTTATCTTTTATTTTTTATTTTTAGATTTTATGCTTTTTGGATTGCATTGTTTGTTAGCTTCGTCGATTAGATAAAAAAAAAGGGGATCATTGATATGGTAAAAACAATAAAAGAATTTCACGATATCCTTGCTAAGATCATTTTCTATTCCGTTTGGTATTTCGCGGGTACAGACGGTACGCAAATACAACATAGAGTATATATTTCCTCGATAGCACAACCGACTGCTCTAAAAACTTAAGCTGAGCAGTTAAATGAAGGCATGATTTAATATTTAATTATTAAACACCATGCTTAGTCCGATCTGTTTGCCTAGTATTAAGCATGAACATATTAAATTGAGAAGGCAAATAAGGCCTGGAAAGATTTGAACTCGGGATCCTGCTCTGATACCATGTGAGATTTTGGTGGAATCACAACCAACTACTCTACAAAATTAAGCTGTTAGATGAAGGCATGATTTAATATTTAATTGTTCTAGCATATACTCGAATATTTCCTCAATAATGAAATGACGAATACGTGTTCATGAAATTTGAAACAGAATATAGAATAATGATTAATATGAATAATTTCAAATTTATTAAATATAGGAAACAAAATTCATTGGAAATGTCTGTGTCTGAATTGGGTCAAATCTGATTGACCCACCACCCTAGGACTTTGGGGTCGAGGTAGTCATGGTCGCTCTAACGACACGGTTGTAGCTTGGAGCTCCTGTTGCTTCCTTGACAAATGTTTTGCCTCTTGTTTTGTCCACAGAATAATAATAACAATCAAAATAAAAAAAGACAACTTGGTCTTTTGATAAAAAAAAATCTAGCACGTGACCTTCTTTTTTTCTCAGTTGTAATAAGACCCCCTAAAAAAAAAAAACCATGCTGTTTCAATGCCGAGAATTCACTATCTTCCGCAAAAGTTCGGCATAAAAATTTAAACAAACGAAGAGAAATCTATGCATATAAAGAGCATGTAAAGCCATTCTTTTGATGGTACATTTATCAAGAATATGAAAAGAAAAAAGAAATCCTAACTCTGCATCGTAATATCGAATATCAATTGCTTACACATGTCGAGAAATATGAATCCGATACCCGTATCTAATCTCCTTGAATCCAGATCATGAGTATGTCCTTTTTGGATCTGCCAGGTTGCCTTGAATTTGACGGGGGAGGATTCTTTGCGGAGCCGCTGGTCCCGGGAAGGACGTATCGCTTCAAATATTGGGGCGGGGGACCCGATCTTAGCTCGGACCGCCGAAGCTCGCCCGGAAAACTGCCCGGTCGCTGCATCAGGAAGAAGAGATTATTTATTTGAGATGGTGGGCGGAAGAATTGCTTGTGTTCTTTGAAGGACCGTATGATCTTCCAAACGTAAGGAACGATTTTTTTTTTCAGGAAATCGTAGGACGAATGCTCCCCATGTTCCTCAAAGTTTTACTTACGCGCATTGCTGCTTCATCGGCTGCTGCTGCCTCATGCCGCTGTCTCCGCGCCGTCAAGTAGCAACGTATCAAGGCTGCCAAGGCTACAACGATCACCAGGAGGCCCAACACAACAAGGGCGACCACCGCCCATGGGGACATAGAATGGGACGGCGGCGGCGGCATCGGAAAGATGTATTGCATGTGCGGGGGCGGCGGAGCTAGCACATGTGGAGAAGGCGGCGGCGGGGGGCCTAGCATGTACAGTTTGTGGGGTGGCGGAGGTGGGTTAGGAACACAGGGTCCTAAACCTTTGAGTTTCCGAGAGGCCATGGATTGATCCTTTGATGAAAACCCTCGTGCATGCGATTCGAATTATATATACGAAGCGAGCGATCGAATGTGCTCGGTTTCTATGGCAATTCGTGAACTCCAAATATGGAAAGAAAGCAAGTTACGCCTCTTTGATATTATATCTCCGAGTTGATTATTACTATTATTGCACTCTAATTACTTCATTTATAACTCAACTTTACTTCCATTCATCTAAAATCTTTATGACACTAATCTAGGAATGCTCGAGGTATTGTCATTATAGGAAGGCGATATTCTTGTTCGCCTTTTTCATCTTTACTTCATATATTTACCTAGATGTTTCTTATTGGGTATTCAAGGAAACCTGATTTTTATTTTATACGGTCGTTCATCAGAATCACTGCACATCTTTTTGCTAGATTTGGGCCGACTAAAGATGTCCACAACTGCACCATATGGGCAAAATTTATTCTTACCATTGAAGAGCGTCACTTGTAAATGGAGAAAGCACAAGCACCTCCTCCGCCCGATCGATCTTGCCGGTCGGCGGTCGCCGCCCTGCAGCATGTACTCAAATGCCTTGTTGATCTCCGAGAAGGGAACCGAGTGGGTGATGAACTTCTTCAACTGCAGTTCCTGCAATAATTTGGGAGAAACCATGAACTCCACCTCGAGGCTTTCTTGAGAATGATATGCATCATCGACTAGCTGTGTGACAGCAGCTTCTCACCTTGTTCATGTACTTCTCCTCGGTCCGCGGCTTGTTGTTGCCGAAGAAGGTGCCCTTTAATGACCTTTCATTCAAGATATTCATCGGATGGGTCTTGAATGCATGTCCTTGTTCGGCACGCCAACAAGCACGGCAACACCCCAACCCTGAAACGGAGGAGATTCATTTGTTCACGGGATTTACAGCGTGAACACACTCAAATGCCGAGATCATCGCCTGGATGCTCCCGGTACATTCGACACTCCTGTCTACTCCTCCATTGGTCATCTCTGCAATCACCTGATTTCAAGAAGATGAGCATTCACATGAACAGAGATCATGACTTTTCATCCATCCATGTAAGCAATTTGATGAAATGGAGAATTGTTCCCGGTGGTACTAATGCAGTTTCCCTCAACATGGCATAATAAAAACTTATGAAAGCGAGATGGCCAGTAACTTACCTCTTGAACAGGTTCACTATGATCTTTAGGATTCCACAAACTCAGTAATGCCAAACTTCTTTGCTGTCGCAGAAATTCGGGTGTATGAACCATAAGTAAGGATCCAACTATATAACGAAAGGAAAACCAAATGGTACACACATAGAAACCTCCTAAAATTGTAACCGTACTTATAGGTGCTATAGATCGCAATACCTTCTTCGAATCTATTCGGGTTCAAATCCACTCCAATGATCCTGGAATCACCAGAGAGCCTCGCCCCTGCAGCAGCCTAAAGTCGAGCAACAATTAGAAGGGAAGAAAAGTGAGAAACAGTAGCCCTTTTCTAATTGACAAACCACAGAGGCAAGATCACTCACAGCAAGCCCAACAGTGCCCAAGCCAAAAATAGCAAGAGACTGTCCCTTTTTCGGCTTTGCAACATTCAGCGTCGCACCCAGTCCTGCTGGAACAAAAGATAATGCCGCTGAAACATGTTGTGGCTACCAATATCATTTGAACATTCTGAAAAGGAGTAGTGTCAAAGATACTGAGTTTCCACTAATATGTCTTAAAAAAGTGGTGTTGCCATATGATTTGGTAGTATATGGCTTGAATGTTTGTCAGTAGATGTGATCAAGTACAAAGTGATCGATTGTGTTAAATAAGCCAACAAGAGCTTGCCACCATTTATTCCACAATCCTTCGTAGAGACGCCTATATTCTTATTGCATGACATCTATATTGGGAATTCAAAGCCGAACATGCGGATATCCCCCAGCTAAGGACACAGACTTTGTCAAGAGGTGCGGCAGGGTTGATCTTCGTGACGCAGCCAACCCAAAACAACCGTGTACTCACTGAAAGCGGAGGTTCTGACAAAGTGGTATATGAGCTTCCCATTGATAGAGTTACTTGTTTTGCCGTCGTTGAGCATGAAACCCCTGTCGGTGTTGATCCCGAGGAGGTTACACGTTGCTCTCCTCTGTTTTACAGTGCTCACAATCCCCGCATTCCCCGGTGAACACCGGAAGGACATGGTCTCCCAGTTTAAGGTCCATCACCCCCTCTCCTACACTCTCCACAATGCTGTAACATGAAATGTTTCGATAAACATATAAGATTCTAGAAGTGAAAGCTACTTTTGCAATTGAGCATCGCTTGATTTGAGGGAGGAAGAAAAGGGATCCAGCCACTACAAGATGCATCCTGTGAATCGGTGTTAGGTCATGGAATGAGTTTGGGATATTACATACCTGCCAGCCTCATGATCGAAAATACATGGAAATAACGGCGTTTGGCCCCGCCATATCAGAAAACAACTTCAGGTCTATTTAGCATTGAACGCCATCACTCAACAGCCGTAATTTCATACGCTTAAGTTAAGTATCTATGCATATCAACCAAGATACAATGAGCAGAATATTCACTGAGCATCACATATCATGTTATCGACTGATGGGATGCACATCAGCATCCTTGAAAATGACATGACCATGTTCAAAACTAGAAGGACAGTGGAGAGTTGTTTTTTAAAGTCAAGCGGCATGGTAGTTTTGGGTCGCGCATGTCACGGTAGCAAATGATTCGTCGCATAAGTGTGACACTCCCTGAATTTTATCCCGATGAGCAGGTAAAAAATCGATGTCAACTGATAAATTACATTAAGGCGGTTTAGTATAAAAAATAATCATGTGAGGCTTAAACTAATTACCTTGGCCTCCCAGAAAAAGACATCGTGTGGTGAAGGGCAGTGAAGAGGATCTTCAAACGGACTTCCTTAGCCTGGGGCGGCGCCACCTCGAGCTCCTCTATCGACAACAGCGGCGAAGGGCAGTGAAGAGGATCTTCAAACGGACTTCCTTAGCCTGGGGCAGCGCCACCTCGAGCTCCTCTATCGACAACAGCTTCCCTGCCTCCCACGCCACTGCAGCCACCGTGTGGCGAAGGGCAGTGAAGAGGATCTTCAAACGGACTTCCTTAGCCTGGGGCGGCGCCATCTCAAGCTCCTCTATCGACAACAGCTTCCCTGCCTCCCACGCCACTGCAGCCACAACATAAACCCCAAATTAACGACACAACTAAATGAGAATTCTCAAGAGCTAATGCCAACTCAGCCGTAATACACATCAATTGATGCACGAATGATGCAGCATCACAAGCACAACTGAAGGAAATTTCGAGCTGCTACTAGAATAGAAGCCTTAAAACTCCATAGTTGGCCTGTTGTTTTCGGATCCATAACATTATACTGCCAGATCATGTTCATCTGACATCGACTAGCTAGAGAAACATTCTCACAAACAACAAACCCATTCGAATTACAGGCTAATTCTATGAAATGCACGATGACAATGCAAAAGTCGATGAGGATCGGTGCCCAACAGCAGAAATCAACTTTTAACAATCACTACAATTCACGAACTGCCATCGGAAGAAGGGGGCAAAAGTAAAAGGAAAGAAAGATGGGAAAGGTAAAGTTCTTACCTTTGCAACGAATGACCTGGCCAGCTGTGTGACCCATGATTTTTGCTGCTTCTCAGAGACTCATAGAGGCACACACTTCACAATCACAGTGAATAGAAGATGAAGAAGAAGATGGGTCTGTCGATGATAAGGGTGATCCCAACTGCAAAAATGGCAACTGCTAAAGTATATTTGCAGCACTTGAAGTGGGAGTTGGCCATCATGGTCATCCCATGCAAGGTGGTACGAGGCTAAATACCTCAAGCTCGGTGTCGTGTCCGTCCTTCTCTCTTACCATTTCGTTTTCAACAGATGTTTCCGGGACTTTCGTTGTCAGTGTGGCGCTCCCCGAGGAGTGCCATGGTTTGTGTTCCAGTCGAAGCACTTTTGCAACGTGCCACTCGTGCCAAACCGCTCATTTGTTTTCTTATTGTTTTTCCCCTTTCGTGGGGACTAACAACAAAAGGCTAGCAAAAAGTTGAAGTGGAAATAGCAAATTCCTAAAGATCGATTTCTATGTTTGCAATTTATCGATCAGAAAACTACCCATCAGGATTGGTACAACTGTTGACTTGACCAAATCAATACACTAATTTCATAAAAAGGCCTAATTTATCGAAAAGATCTTTAAGTGCATCAGGAACTTGTGAATCCAATGCATCGTTAGCTTTGATTTTACTAAGTCCCACGTGGAACACACATATATACTCATTACACCCAGGAATATCTCTAATATGTTTCCCAAAAACCATTGCGGATAGCAATATGTATAAATTGTTGGGCAAGGCTGGGCAAACGATAGAGATAAATTGGACTTTTACAATGTACTAATGGGTCTAGTCCAAGGAAATTCATAGCGAAACACAAACACAGTGATCAAGAATTATTTCAGTTCCGTCCAAAATAGAAGACAAACGTTGACATCTAGATTCAGAAGATGGATTTTACCCGGGAAACAAACATTGCAGTAGGAAGTAGAGGTGAGCATGCTTCCAGAGTAGAACCTGGAATCTGAGAACCTGACCGATAGGAACCTGTAGGTTTTAGGTTTCAAGATATTTATGGTAGGTTTCAGGTTACAAAAATTGGAAAACCTGCTTCGACGGGTAGGTTTCAAGTTCTAGGTGGGGGGAACCTGGAACCTGAAACCTGAAATCTAAACAAGTTTTTTGTGTTTTTTCTTAATCTATGTTTTTATGTGATCCTGCGGTATATCATGACGTTAGATGATGGGTGTATAATACGGAACCACTACTTTGAGCTTTCATTTAATGACTTGTTAATGTTTCATATTCTTCGTGTGTCTAAATATAAATTGTGGTCAGTGGATCATAATAGCAAGTGGTGATCATTAAAGGTGATAATTTGCTGCAATTGTTCAATTAATAATATAGGAGGAACCTGGATAGACCTTGGAACCGACCCTAGATACTGTGATAGGGGATTATATTTATTTGAATCGTAATGCGAGGAAAACTAGTCTTTTGTATTCTCTTTGATAAATAACAAGCTTATTCAGTATTGTTGCGTTCATTTTCATTTCGTATAACTAAAAATGAAATAAATAAAAAAAGAGAACCCGTTAGACCCTAGAACCTACTTTGTAACCTGTAACATGGTAGGTTCTAAATTTCAGGTTCTAACGGGTATGTTCCAAGTTCCGAAAAATGAGGAACCTGTACCCGATGATTGGTTCCAGGTCTTAAGTAGAACCTGTAAGGAACCTGGAACCGCTCACCTCCGGTAGGAAGAGAATAACGGCAAACCTAAGGATAGACTTCTTGCGAGGGATTGATGACTTACGATGATTCACAAAGTTATGAACCACAACCGAGAAGTCTCATGGAGGTCAAAAGCCAAAAAGCTGCTCCAGGATTTCCAAAGGCCATCCTCGCCATTGGATGTAAGCGAAGCCGGTCGATGAGATGATTCACTCCTCCTTTTCCGAGGGGCCACCGAATGTTTTAAAGAGAGAGACTTGGTTTGGAGTGCGACGAAAGATATGAGAGGGTGAGGAGAGGGTCTTTGAAAGGCTGTCTCATTCGTGGCAAATGAATGATCACGGAAAGTTTGGAACTTTTAGAGCTGTAACGTCTTTATCCATGACCTTTCATGATGGAGAAGAGCGACTTTGAGAATATGAAAAGTGAACAAACACCTTGTGGTATGATAGTACTTTCCTCAATCCACCTGTTTACGCTAACTGAGTCTATGCGGCTCCAAGATGAACCGGGTCATGATCAAGTGATTATTGGGCTAGATTCGAGTTCCACATTGTTATTCAACACCGAGTTTTAACCCACATCCTGACGACTCGGAAGAGGTATTTCAGGCCAGCCAGCTTTTTATATGAATCTAATCAGCAGCAGCAGCAGCAATGAACACGTAGGGAACAGCCGGCGACAGACTTACAAAAGTTTCTTCGGATATACAAAGGCTAGAATTTCAAGGATTCTTAACTTCTCATGTTAGGTGGGGAATTACACCAACTTTCCTTCAGCCTGCGTACATTGAGACTCGTGCTACAGATACATGCTGCGAACGGGCTTGCAACCGACCTGCAATGTGCCCTTTGTGTTTCAGGAGTCGCACAATTCAACAGATGAATCGCCGAAAGAGCTTCCCAAATCATCCCGCACTAAGTTTGCCAAGCACAATCAGCCAGTTAAAAGCTTACTTCAACTCCACATGTCATGGCATTTACGGATCGTAGTATACGACTCTATTAAGGGTTGCGACTGAGCATAAGAGAAAACTTGGAAAAGACATGAATCTGATAGTATTTATCTTTGTTAGCTGCCTTTCACACATAGGCTAATATATCTTGTCCAATGATTGAAACCAGATAGGAGCATTTTCAATTGTCCAGTACAGCTATTGCAGTGAGGGAGAAAGATAGGTTGATCAGCAAAATGGGCTTCGACGAATTGCAGGACTGCACAAATAGCTGAATAAACTGATACTGCTTTTTTTCTTTGTTTCCCTTCCTGGAAAATATTAGGAAGTTCACAATTTAAAAGAAAAAATTAAGAAAGCTTACTCTGCGACAAATTTATTCTAGACTTTCTAGTCACTCAGGCGAGCCGCTAGCTAAACAGTGACATCAAGTGATCCGATTGCATAGTGGACTTGACGGTGTCTGATCCAAGAGAAAGAGAGGACATTGGCGTGACAAAAGAAAGAGACAGAAAGATGCAAAAATATCTTCTCGGGTGCGTTTGAATAATGACCACCAAGTGGATAATCATGCACGCTCTGATCGTCTCAGCCAACAGCATCTTGACTTTAATTGGAGTTTCACTGTCCATCTTCGTCACAAAAAGAGAAAAGAAGACCCACTTGTCGATTTGAACATTTTGATCCGTCGTGTCGAAGTAAGACCGCAGTTAAACCAGGGAAATTAGAATCCGGGACTGTTTTGGCATCGCCCGTTGTATTTTCCTTCTCTTGATAAGGCCCAGTGAAAAGTCTACATTACTGTTCCTAGTAACAGGGACTTGCGCAATCTTCCTGTTTTTGTTTGCTATGAGGGCAAGTTGCCTCTCTACTTTAGTTTGGTGTATATATACCCACCAAAATGGCACTACCCATCAAAGCAAAAGCTAAAAACTTCAGTTTAATTGTTCTTCAGGTATCAGATAAAACACAAGTCGGCACTTTTTTCTTCTTTGAGAAAACAAGATGTCATGCACTGTTGGTCAGGTGATACATTGCAGAGGTATCACGCTTTTCTTTTTTCAACGCGAAGCTTTTGCCTCATTTAAATGGAAATATAAACTAATCTGTTAGAGTTTTGTAATATTTTGATGGCCTAATTCAAGTGGGTTCTCTTTGGGTTTAGCTGCTGTTGCATGGGAAGCAGGGAAGCCCTTGGTGATAGAACAAGTGGAGGTAGCACCTCCACAAGCCATGGAGGTTCGCTTGAAGATCCTTTATACCTCTCTCTGCCACACTGATGTCTACTTTTGGGAAGCCAAGGTAAACAACCACAAGACACCTGCTTAAAATGATCACAACTTGAAAACAAAGCAGGAAACTAGAAACTGTTTACACCCTCAGAATCTATCTATGTCGGCTAATGAGTCTCCTTTCCCCAGGGACAAAACCCTCTATTTCCTAGAATCTATGGTCATGAAGCTGGAGGGTGAGTGAATCCAGTAAGACTGTCTAATTATTAAATTTATGGAACTGATAACAGTTGATAAATCTGTGAATTTGGGTAAGTTAGGATTGTGGAGAGCGTGGGTGAGGGAGTGACTGATCTGAAACCCGGGGATCATGTCCTCCCAATTTTCACTGGGGAATGCAAGGAATGTGCCCACTGCAAATCAGAAGAGAGCAACATGTGTGACCTCCTCCGGATCAACACTGACAGAGGAGTCATGCTCAGTGATGGGAAGTCAAGATTCTCCATCAAAGGACAGCCCATATACCACTTTCTAGGGACTTCAACATTCAGCGAGTACACCGTGGTTCATGTAGGCTGTGTTGCCAAGATCAACCCGCTCGCCCCTCTGGACAAAGTTTGCGTCATCAGTTGCGGGATCTCGACTGGTATGTTGATGCTCAGTGCATCCCAGAGAAATAATCTATATCGACATTTTACCGTCTCAATTGAAATATTAATAACAGCAAAGGTTGTGGCTTTTAGGCCTGGGAGCAATGGTAAATGTAGCAAAACCACCCAAGGGTTCGACGGTGGCTGTTTTCGGATTGGGAGCTGTTGGGTTAGCTGTAAGTCGTCTCTGCAGTTATGTAGACTTTGATCTTGATTTGAGAATTTGACGAGCAAAAACTTACTCATCTCTTTGACGATGGATAGGCTGCTGAAGGTGCAAGGATTGTAGGGGCTTCCAGAATTATCGGAGTTGATTTGAATCCAAATAGACTTGAAGGAGGTTATTATTCAATCCCAAGATGCATGACCTCTCACTGCTCGAGACTATATGATCATTTCTATAGATCTTCCCAACATTATCTGAATAAAAAATTACTGACGTCCTTACTTGACACAAACTATAATCCAAATGTCTTGCAGCAGTGCAGTGATATTGCGGTCGTGAAATTTGTCAAAGATAATATTCAGAAAAATGAAGAAACCATAAAACTAGAAATTTGACCCGCAGCTTTCGAGCAAAGATGATAGATCTAGCTGATTGCCGCAACGTTCGATCAGTGATCAAAGTCCTTGCTAAATTCATTTTCTTACTTGTTAAAGATGGGGCCTGTGTTGCTCTCTCATAATTACTCTTGCTCAATTTTCTCTCAACAGCAAAGAAGTTTGGTGTGACAGAATTCGTGAACCCGAAAGACCACAACAAACCTGTACAAGAGGTTTGTACTGAACTGTTCGAGGAAATAGAATCCATTCCCCCTGGTCTCCATCATTCATAAGATTCCCTCAAAATTTGATTGTTTACCAGGTGATTGCTGAGATGACAAATGGAGGAGTAGATAGGAGTGTTGAGTGCACTGGAAATGTCGACGCCATGATCTCCGCGTTCGAATGTGTACACGACGTATGCATTTTTCTTATGGCCGCGCATTCAATTTGTGCCACGAGAAATTTACAGACTCTGACCTACTTATATATTACGGATTCTGACGAAGTGAGAAGTTCTTGACAGGGTTGGGGAGTTGCTGTTCTTGTGGGGGTGCCCCATAAAGATGCTGTCTTCAAGACTCATCCTATTAATCTACTGAACGAGAGGACTCTGAAGGGCACGTTCTTTGGAAACTACAAGCCGCGTTCAGACATTCCCTCCGTCGTAGAGAAATATATGAGCAAAGTAAAACACACTCGAACTAAAGCAATTGAAAGTGTCAATTTATTTCTGTGTTCTTTTCTTTTGTCCTGTAATTGATTTCCTAGTCTTGAATGTTCCAGGAGCTTGAAGTGGAGAAGTTCATCACTCACCAGGTCCCTTTCTCGGAGATCAACAAGGCCTTTGACTTCATGCTTAAAGGCGAAGGCCTTCGCTGCATCATTCGCATGGAGGAGTAAAGGAGCGGATGAAGAACCCGATAGCCCTGTAGAGAAATAAAAGTAATGTGTAAGAGAATTCGCCGAAAGAGCGTGCTTAGGGGTCCAATTCAGGGTTCGATTGGACTGTATTTCTGCCATCATCCATGTACTTTCCGTAATAATTGCATCTATTTTGTGATCCTTCAGCCTTTGAAACATTGACTCTGACTTATAATGCGTAAAACTCCCGAATGTGCAAAATTATCAACTTGTACTTAATTCAGTGTTTATCAACAGTTTACTGAAGTGACTTGGATAAGAAACATACCCAGAATCGGAACTGAAGGGTGATTCATCTTGCATGAGCTAAATATCCAAGTTAGGAATCATTTACATGGCATCACCGCGCTCAAAAAGATCCTTAGGATAGAGTTTTCATGTTCTACATTTGATTTGAAATTTGACATACGTTACTAGATATGCTAGATTAGAATAGAGATTTGACGGTAATTCAAAGTGATATGTGACTTAGTAGTGTAACAAAAATGCCCGATCCTCAAATTCCTTCTTAACATACTGGCATCCGCTATAATGTTTCTTTCATACTATTATCGATTCTTCAATCTACAACCCCGTTATCACATCTGCCCCGAACTTTCACGTGAATGTAGTCCTCCAACTTTCTCTACTCCAAAACCCAGTCAGGAGCCCATTACACTAATAGACATGTGGCTTAAGGGTAAGACTGGATCGATTCGAAGATAAAGTTTCTCAATACCGTTTCACATCTACACAGCTGGGTCGCGGAAGAAATGCAAATATCCAACCATTCAACATTAAAGTACCTTGGAACAAGGATGTGTCATTTTCCAATTGGGTCCCCATACTATTACAAGAGGTGCATTGCCCCCCACGACCCCGGACGCATCTATACTCTACAAAGCATAAACAACAATTTCCTGCAAAATTTCTGTAACATTAAGCAAGAATTATGTACATCACGTGCTCCCATAGATCTGGACTCTTACCGGAATCATAGTTATGCTAGCTTTGCTAGAATTCCCAAATCCAATATCTTGACATCAAGATTGTCCAGTTTCACGATACCATCCTCGCCATCCACACCCATCAATTTGCCATTGCGACCACGTAATTGGCCACCAACGATCTTGATCTTGTCCGATTTCCTTGGCACCACCATCTCCATTTCGTTAGGAAGAAGGGTCACCGTCTCCCCGTTGCCACTAGGCCCAAGGGCTACCCGACAGGAGCCATCCTGGTCCAAGAAGAAGATGGTAGAAATTAGTATATCAATACTCCAATTAACGAAATAGCTTTGACAAAATACCCACTTGTCATAGGTTTTCAGGAAGCTAAAATCTACCGTTATTGTTTTGAAAAGAGAAGCTTCGCTAACAAAATCCCCCAAAGAATCCCCATAAAAACGTTGCAATTGCTTTTGATTACAGTAGTTTTTTCGATGTATTACTTCGGATGAAAAATTCAAGATACAATCACAAATCCTCATCGCACCAGCTTGCCACAATAATTTGATTGTGCATCCTTAAGCAAAGCTTCAACTATAGTTAACAACACAAAACTGGAGAACCCTTTTTGAGAGTTTCAGGACTCCAAACAAACTTAATGATCAGATTGAAATGTTGCACCATACAAAGCACACAGACTTTAAAGGACAACCATGCAAACATCCCAAAGATCAAAGAGCAAACAGTTTCAAGATAAGGGAACTCACGAGTAATCTAAAGAAAGCCCATCAACTCATATTTTTTGATACTGGCTTACTGGTCAAAGCAAAGGAGAGACACGGAAGCATGCAAGATTTTTCTTCTCTTTTCTGCTCGTACTAGAACAGTGTTTCTTTCAATAAATCTTATTGTTTACACACACGAGCGCATACATTGAGAGGGAACAAAGGAACAAACTTACAGGAAGAACCTCTCTGATAACTCCAACACTCTCTTCTCCTGGTCTGGACAGATTAACCAGAATTTCTGGCATAAACCATGGTCCTTCATTTTCCCCACCTGTAACGATAAGAGCTGGATAATGAGAACTCTAGAAGCACCAACGAAAGAAGGATCTTGGAAGTGATCACGACCATGAAAAAAAAATTTAAACATAAAGTCCTATTTTCATATATCTTAACATCAGCTTCGTAAATAAAAAGCAAGGGTTCCTAAAACTAGTTATCTAAATTTTTAGATGATCCCTTCGTTCAACCACAAAACCAGAGAACCACACGTTGATGAATTGCGCTTGCTCTACAGCTTTCCAGAAGAAATGAAGTTATGACCATTGGAGTAATTAAATGAGGAGTATGACGAGCAAAACAATATTACAAAATTTCACCCTCTTGCGACAACAATACACCACTGATACTTAAATGCACAAGTCTAAGAGTAATTTCTCCTGCTTTTCCACTTTCAATGCCAAAATAAACAAAGATTAAAGACGAAAAAAGCCACTGGGCACCAAATCTTTGATGGACAGTTCAGAGTAGAATCTGTAGTTACTTTCAAGCCCTCATACGTGTCATTACCATATGTCACCAGAGAAAGGGTTCCAACCTATAACAGGAGACATGACGTCTAGTCCACCGGTTCCAGGTGTCATTGGTTGCCCTCCTGGAGTGCCAGGCAGATAAGATGCTGAACTTGGCGTCATAGGTTGACCAGGAGTAGATGGCAAGTAAGGGCTAGGAGCATTTGCTGCAACAAGGACAAAAATTAGATGACAACAATTAAGATTGGAATCTTGAGAAACAACACGAACAAACAGAAGCAATACTGGATATAGTTAACTACCGTAGGCAGAATTGCTATCCCTTGGAGTACCAGCTTCACTATAACTACCGCCAGGTGTAGTTGCCCAACCTGAACCAGGTGTGGGTGCATCATATGTTCGTGAGGGAGGACTTCCTGGCTGAAAATATGGATACAAAAAGGAAGTGTAAGGAAAATAAATATGCAGGAAAAGAACCATTTGAGCCAAAAATTAAGGATGCCGCCTCACCTGATACCGTGGACTACTTCCCCAAGAGGCAGGATTCCCATCTTCATAATCATCCCTTAATTTAGAGCGAAAAATATTAAGAACACCGCTTGTTAGTAAAGCTCTATACCATAAAATGGTAAATTGAAGAGCAATTGGTCAAATCCCAGGTATGAAATGCTCACTGAGTGCAAAGTGCAAAAAACATGAATCGGGGCAAAATGTTTTCTTAAACATACGCGACTCCTGAGATCCAAACAGTTTGCATGTTTAGAGTGTCAACATTACAACTTGCAATGGTTTCTGATTTCTGATTTAACTAGAATATTCCCCAGACTGAATTGTGACTTGAAAATTGGTGGCTACTGTTAAAATTTACAAGTCCTTTCAAAATCAAACTCAATAGTCATGCCCATACCACTACACAGCATCTAGAACCGTATGAAATGCTCACACAGTGCAAAAGGAAAAAAACAGGAATCAGGGCAAAATGTTTTCTTAAACATCCGTGACTCATGAGATCCAAACATTTTGCATGTTCAGAGTGTCAACATTACGACTTGCAATGGTTATCAGATTTCTCATTTAACTGGAATATTCCCCAGACTGAATGTTGACTTGAAAATCGGTGGCTACTGTTAAAATTTACAAGTCCTTTTAAAATCAAACTAAATAGTCATGCCCACAGCATCTAGAACCGTAACAATGCCTTACATCCTCAGTAATATAATACACATAATGCATAAAAGATCGTGTCAACAGCATCTGAACCGTGAAATGAATGGTCTAATGTCCAGCATATCATCAGATCAGTTCAGAGTTATAAACACAAGGAAAAGAGGCAAGCATATCAGAACATCCACCCTTCTAAATTAGAAAAGAAAGATTCCATTGGTATAGCTGAATGTTGGGATAGACAGATTCCAGTGATAAATGCCGGATAGACCATTTCGATCTCAATAACTCACAGAATTCTAGCTGTCCAGGAAGCAAGTTTCAGAAGCAAACCTTGGTGGACTCATCGGAAGCCATGCTCTGTCACGCATAGGTGTTCTCATTCCATCATGAATAGGTGTTGCTGAAAGTAGATTGACATCAAATTATTCACAAATAATGTCAAGGAGGCGGCAAGAAAATTATCGATTGCTTAAAAAAGACAAAGATACAGAGCACAGAACGAGTTTTGAGCTATCTAATGGGGCATTCAACAGACCTTTTTTTCGGATCAGTAATGGACTTAGGAAATTTACTCACAAACATAAGAAGGCTATAATTCCATTACAGGAAAAGTTAAAAAAAAAAAAAGAATAGAATAGCCCTCAAGGGAGGAAAATCGAACCTCCAGGATCTCTCATTGGAGTCATAAATGGATGCATAGGAGTTCGAGAAGGATGCATGGGAGTCTCACTGCCCATACCATATCTTGAATCTCTGCAATACATTGTCCAAGATTATAAACTCAGGTATTCACAGGCGGAAGGGAAGGGGGAATTACATTGATCAAGTCATTGAATGACAAAGGTGTTCCTTACCGGTAGGGAGTTGAAACAACAACATTGTCAGAAATCAGACTGCGGTCCACTGCACATAAAACAGGCAATCTATTACATCAAGAAAAGACGCCATAGAAACTGTCAGAAAGGTGTGTTCCACCAATTGTCCAAAACTTGCCTGTAACAACCTTCATCTGTGACTCCAGCTCGACTCTGACAGATTGGCCTTTCACTTCCACAACACGCCCACGGTATCCCTTATAAGGACCTTGGCGAATCTTTACCGTAGTACCCGCCAAAGCATCATGACCCCTCCCACCACCATGCCTTCCTCCAACTAGAGAAAGATGTCAAAAAAGCAATGCTTAGCCCATGCATGGTATCAAAGAAAACTAAAAATGTCTATCGCTTAGCACCATACAGCTAATTGGAGGTCTGCCTCCAGAGAATCTCCTCGGCGATGGGGGTATCTGAGATGGTCTCAAATTGGAAAACCTTGACAATGAATCACCCTAAAAAGTTGTCACAAATGAACAAAGCTTCAATCAGAAAGAGTTGAGCAGTTGCCATCTGACTTAAATCAAGCAACAAACAGAAGGACTTACATGTCTATCACCATTTGCTCGTGATCCTCCCACAACAGTGCATGAAACAGATTTACAACAGATAAAACCAGCATGCTCAAGATGATGGCGATCATAAATAAACACAATTCCTCTAAATATGTGTTCGACAGGTCCTTGTTTTCCCTATTGAAGCAAACGAAAAGAAAATTATTAACAAATTTCAAGATTTCATGCTTATGAAAAAGAAATATCTAGGAAACTGGATCTCACTTTGGATGGACCCTCCACAATCCTGACAACATCCTTCACAGATATAGTGTTCTTGTTGCGATCCTGGACACTAAATTTCTTATCGATCTTGGACTTTATCTCTCTCAATCTAACAGTGATGACTTCAGGTCTATCTGGAACTCCCTTAAGAACCTGAAAGAAAGTGAAACATCTGTCATTATGGAAAGAGAAAATCATCTAGTTTAATCACTTTTTACATCAAACATGACCCACAAAGGCTCAAATTTCTGAAGGGCATGTCCAAGAGACTTGCCTCAATGCGTGTCACATACCTGAAAAGCTTCACTTTCAACACGAATTATGACACCGAAGTTGACATTACTGTGGCAGATGGCAAAAAAAGCAGTTAGACCAATAGATGGTAGCAGCAAACTACAAACTAAAATGTCTTTAACCAAACGTGGAACTCACTCCAGTAGCACAAGGTCGTGAAGCTCATAGTCTCCAATTCTGGTTACTCCAGATGTTACCTCTGAACTCTCAACGACATCATCAGCAAAAACACAAATCTGAAAGACAACTGAAGTTATTTCTTCGCTCAAGGTAGCAGAGTAAAAGAGGTGTTCCAAGAACCCAGAAATCACAGAAGAAGTTAGGCTCACATGTTCCTTCGTTGTATCCGACAAAATGATGAGTGCATGTTGCTCCACCTTTACAACCATACCAGTAGCACCTTCTTGGGTACCAGAAACGACCTTAACATGATTCCCAGGTTCAAAGTACTTGCACAGTTCTTTCTCGTTAACAGCCAGTGTTTTCTGTATGAATCAGCAAACATAAATGTAAAGAGATATCTTCAGGACAGCATATAATGCTAAAAGCAATTGATTTCAAAAAATTAGTCCATGAGTTATTTCTTACAGGAAGGCCTTTCATTTCTGGTCGAATATGTACATTCTCTTCCTCGACTTTCTCAACCCAACCCTTCAAATTTTTAAGATCACCTTTCACAACAATTACAGCATCGCCCTTCATGAAATGACCCTTTTTCCTGTTCGCAAATAGAGTTGACAGACTGCCTATGTCACCGTCCCCACTCTCACCGGGCTTCCTGAACTTCTCAAGTTCATCAAACGTGGGCTTTATATTATTAGAGCTTATTGATTTCATGGATACAGTTTTGAACAAGAAACCATCTTTAAACATCATGCCGGCAACATTCTCAAAATAATCACCAGTCATTGGATCTCGCCTACGTTCCACACGGATATTCAGTTCCCTGGAAAGAAGCACACTCCGAGAGTCAGTGAGCCAAATACCCCAAAGTTATCCTAAAAAGGAGAAGCAGAAACAAGAATACCTGGCCTCTTCAACATTCATAAATCGTGGAGGGGGAACAAATGCTTTCTTCTTCACTACTTCTCTACCTTCCTGGTGATGAAATAAACATATGTATTTAAATTCACATGGAAACTAACAAATCAATTAGAATAAATACGAGAATAGCAAATGCCTTCATAGAAGACAATCCTTTTCATTTTCCGTACTTTGTACGGATGCAAAATACTCTGTTTATATATTTAAAATTAATATGAACGATTACATCCGCTTATGCATATAATAGTACTCGGAGTATAGTAATAAAAGAAATGAATGCTCCATTACCAACTTATTTGCAATAGCTTGCAAATCAATCCTTGGTATTAATTTCACTGTAACTCGTTGGCGGACATTATCCACATCTACCACCTGCAGAGTCCAAAGTCTCATGTAACATAAGCAACAAACAAAGTTGTAACACTTCTTTTGCCCTCGAAAGGAGGAGAGGGCTGGGGAAGAGGGGGGCAGGAGTGGGAGGGGGGAGGTTATAGCGGAAAATAAGTAAATTGACATGAGTAAAGAAACCCTGACATACTTTGGCAAGGTCTCCTTTGTACTTCCCTATCTTCATTCGGACCCATGTGTCTCTAGAAAGATCAATTGCCTTACTTTCAACTGACAGGACATCCGTCATTTCTCTAATCGGGACGAGCATTACTTTCTGCGAATATATATTTCGCAGACCTTTGCATGCCTGGAAAAACGAAGGTGTCCAGATTATTTACAAAATACAACAATCACTGGCCTACACCTCTGAAGTTCAGTAGGTCCTGCAGAATCAACATACTCATGAGAACTTACCTCCCTCACATGGGCCTCTTTGTCCGCTTCAATGTATATATAATTTTTCAGATGGTCAAGTGCAATGGCTGACCTAATTTGCAATTCAGGTCCTTTATCAATGGCTTTCTGCATTAGGCACACAGCTGCCTCTCGCTCATGACCAATCTATGAAATGCCACACAAATATCACGTCATTCCAAGCTCACCAAAGAATCAATAATACCAACTACTTATAAGGAATTGGAAAAAAACAGAAGCTTAGTCACAATTTACAAACAACAGAGGACGTACCGCACATTTCACCATCCATAGCTTTGGATCCCTGACAGAAGGCAAAAGAGCCTGCTGGTCTACATCCGTTGTCTCCTCATCATATTCAGTATGAGAAGACCTAGCATATCTTGCCTGAATTCTTCTTTCAAGATCATCAACATCCTCCTGATCATCCTCACGCGGAAGCAAAGGTCTCCGATGGATCTGCCTATTATCATCATCGTCAGGTAGGTCGGCCCCATTATCGATAAAATCTGCATTGCCAGGTTCATGCCAATTCCATCATTAATGCAAACAAAAGGTCCACCAAATAGTGACGGGCACGAGAATTTGGTTTCACATAGGAATAAAAAAAGCCCCTTCAAGATCCACAACACCTTGGCGGTGATAGTTTTATAAGTTCCCCAAATCTTTTGCGCATAATCAATATTCAGTAGTAGAATAGTGTACTTAAGGTCCTCAACACTTTAAGCATCTTTCTTTTATTTAGAAACTAAATGGGAATGACAATAGATAGGTATAACACCATGTCTTCTCCCAAAAAATAATACGAATAGACAAATATTTTAAGTGTCCCCAACACGCTCAAATTTTTTGGAGTTTCCATTACACAAGTAAATAATTCACAAACCACTATAAAACGTCTATTTTAAAGAACTGTTACACATTTGTTAAAAGATCACTACTTCAATGCTTCAACTACAAACTCGGGCATAATACAACCACAGAAGGTACCCTCCATCATACAATAAAATCCAGCCCCCATACATTGCAGCAGTAAGTCGACAAACCAACCTCATATGACCTATACTCAGCACCATTATCTTCTATCAGCCAAATTCTGAAAAAGAAAAGGTATACCACCCTTTTAGGCAAATATTGCCCATTGACCCAATTTTTTTTTCCGGAAGAAGTACTCTAAAACCAATAAAACCGAATTGAGACAACATGAAGAACTTGTTCTGGAAATAAGTCTCCAATATCAAAATCATTTAAAAGAAAAGGAACCTCCTCAATCAATATGACAAGAATTTACTGACTGTCACTAATTGAAAAGTGCCTTCATTCACAATTCCCTGATACGATAGGAAAAAGCCTACATTCCTGAAAACAAGAAAATAAGGCAAAACAGTTCTCTCCTTCCATATACTAAAATGACAAAGATGAATGCTAACAATGTCTGCAGCCTGTTATTAATGTTTTTCATGGACCCGAAAATGTCCAATTTACTCTGCAGAAAACCATAATCCACCCTTTATTAATACAAGTTTCTTCAACATTCCTCCCTAAGTTATCTTGTTCCGGCTTCCATCACACGTTACAAGGCCATTACACCATGAATAAAGAATTGCCTCACTGGGTAAGAGAGCAAAGATGCTTAAGCAGTTGTGCTGAAAAGGGGAATCAAGACAAAGTGCAAGTAAAGAAAAACAAGGTTTCTCCAACCCTAGTAGTGGTTTCAGTCATGTACATACATTAAATTGCTAACCAGCTAATCTCTCGTCCAATGTTCATAGAGTTCGAGAAGAAGCTCACTTTTAACCCAGAAGAAATGTGGGCGACATGATGTGATCGTCACATTCTAAAAATCAGATTCCGATCAGCTCATAATCAGCCAAACTTCCAAATAATCACATCAATACACTCCGTTCTACTGCATATTAGTCAGCCAGATGTCTTCCCATCAAATGGAACAGCCGTAGTGCCAAGAATCATTAGTCCGGACGTTATAATCTTAGTTACTCCAACTGATAGCTTAATTAGGTATCGGATGTAAGTAAAATTCTGGATAGGCAAATATCCGGCTCAGGTAAACAAGGTTGACACTTTCTAGAACCGGGCATATTTCAAGCTAACTAAACCAAAAACACCACCTAGCACCTCACACCCCACGGATAATATCACCATTCACCGAGTCTAACAACCGAACAAAAAACCATCGGCACCCAATCTACTCAAACTCAATAAGAAAAAAAACCCCTAATTTGCAGCAGAAAATTCCATTACTTTCCTGCACGTCTCCCCAACCCAAACTTCATAATGGCAAGCTCGACAGGCAAATCAAAACGAGCCACTTAAATTCACCATCGAACACATCCGAAACCTAATACCCCAACAAGAAGGCACCGGCGGAGGAAAGAAACACTTTTTTTCCACGTACCGTCCTCGCCGTCGTCCTCGTCCTCGTCCTCATCGCTATCCACCTGAGCCTCGAGATCGAAGAACTCCGACCCCGATCTCTTCTTCGCGCGCTGCCTCTTCCCCCCGCCGCCGCCGCCGCCGCCGCCGAAATCCTCGTCATCATCGTCGTCCTCCTCCTCCTCATCGTCGTCCTCGTCCGCGACGTCGTCGATGAAGTCGGATCTCCTCCGCTTCTTGCCGCCCCCGGTCTTGCCGTAGTCCTCCTCCTCTTCCTCCTCCTCCTCCTCCTCCTCGTAGTCGTCCTCCAGGGCCTCCCTGTCCTCGTAGTCGTCCTCCTCCTCGGGCTCCATTTCGTCGTCCTCCTCGTCCCTCCGGCGGCGCGCCATGGTCTGGGGGCGAAGGAGGATTGATTGGGATGAGTAGCGAGGGAAGTAAGGTATCGATCGATCAATCGATCCAATCGATCGAAGGGAGGGCAAAGGTGGAGTGATTCGATCAGATATATAGAGGAGCTGGGGGGATTGATTTGTCGGATTTTTTATGAACCCTAGAAATTGGCAAAATTTCGTTACATTTCTCTGTCGAAGGGTGAAAAAAATATTCATGAATACGAGTCGGTGTTGGGCTTTTCATGATTAGAAGAAAGTTGTTATTGGGCTTATTCTTCTGAGGAGAGAGGAGGTTGTTGGTCTTGGGCTTGGGCTTGTTCTTGGGCTTGTCCTTGGGCTTGGGCTTTATCTATTTACACTAATGATACATCATTCTCTATTTACATAAACATGGAAGGGCTTCGATCAAAAAAAAAAAAAAAACATGGAAGGGCATTTTCGGTTTTCCACACGATTAATATCTTCAATGATTTTTTAAAGGGTTAATACCATCGAAAATCCCAAACCGGTACACCTGCGACAGATTTACCCAAAACTATTTTTTTTATCACCAAAAACCCCAAACTGGTACGCTTGTGACAAATTTACCATAAACTAATTTTTTGACTACCAAAAATCCCAAACTGATATACTTGTGACAAATTTACACTCCGTAAAATTGGACTAATACTACAAAAAATCACAAATTGGTAAACATGTGACAAATCGAGGGGTAAAACTCCAAACTAGCACACCCGTTAACTATTACGTGTCACCCAACTTAGTAATTTAAAGATAAAATTTAACGGAAACTAACAGAGGGTAAATTTGTCACAAGTATATCAGTTTAGGATTTTTTATGGTCAAAAAATTAGTTTTGGATAAATCTGTCTCAAGTGTACTAATTTGGGATTTTTCGTGGTATTAACTCTTTTTTAAGTGATAAAAGTTGTTGCACCTTTGTCATGGCCATGACAGCGATACATGGGTGTGTCTCAAATGACTTTTTCTCTTCTTCTTTTTTTTTCTTTTTAAATTTTCGTGGCTCAAACACTTCAACTTTTCACTCAAAATATCTGATATATTTACGACACGCGAATCTGTATAAAGTATTTTTTCAAATTGGATAATGTTATAACATTTGATGGAATTCTTTTTGCTTCTTAAAGTCAAATTTTTGCACGTTTCATGTATGATACTGGGGTTTACGATCAAAGGCAAGAAAAGCGAACAACGTGATTAAGCCATCTTAAAAATTAACTAAATGATGATCTCTACATGTTTAACCAAAATGAACGCCCCCATTCTAATAAATGAACATTTGCACCGACAAAATGTTAGAGATAATTAAAAATCTAGGATAATTTCCCATATCAGAGATATTTGATAATTTTGTTGATTTTCTGAATCTCTCAAGATTACGCATATATCTTGATTGATATATTACCTTAAATAATCATATAATAAAGTTTATGTATGCTTCATTCTGATAAATAGGCTGGTGTATGATCAATGGTGACGAGCGGACTCATTGGGCTAATGGGTAGGTTCATGTACGCATGCCAAAAATCGGCGAGCCAGCTCTAGGGATTCTTCCCCAATAAGGATGAGGTTGCTCAGTAACAAGAAGCAGCGAACGCTAAATCCCTTTGTCAAGGTTTGTTTTTTATATCAATTGGTACCCAAATTATCTGAAGCACCTCATGTTGTGCTATTTGTGAGAAGATGACAGATGGTTATGTCAATAAATTGATGTTTTAGTGCTGAAAATAAAATAAAAAATGACAAGAAGCAAGATTAGCTTTGAATGCGCTTGGAGAATTTATGTATAATTCGATATATATAAAATGTTACATTTCTAACTTGCATCTGAAATGCTCAATGGAAACATATGATGTATCGATTATACAAATCACGTGGTACAACTAATCAGCCGTTTTGTCATGTGACATGCATCCATCCAATTTTGAGTTTAAATTTATAATATTCTTACTTATGATCGACTCGATTCTTCACGTTTCGCTACCACACAGATGCATTCCATGCACATAATACCTTCTCGAACGGTAATTAGGTGTATGCCATGCCATCCCTTGGCCAATCAAGTGAGCCTAGCTGTCATATCCCGGTCCGTTAAATTTTGTGGGACCCAAACGATCGGACAGCTCACATGCTTCGCAGTGGACAACATCCACGTGTCAAGTCAGCAGCTCACAACCAGTCATAAAGAATCCGTATTTAGTGGAACGCTGCGACCACATCCACGGAAAATCTTAACGACAAACTTGCACCGAGTCCCCCTCCCTTCCCCGCCACACTTTACTTGTCCAGTCAGCAACAGAGCTCAGCTTCATTACCAGAACAATCTCTCCTCATTTCTTTCGACCTTTAACTCAAACATTCACAAAGTCTCTAGCCATCAAGTCCACCATAAAGCAAGTAATCTTGCCAGTAATTCTCCCATAATCTCTACGCTTCTCGAGCTGCGTAGAGGAAATGGGAACAACCCTGATAAGCAGTTGCAGGCTTCCATGGAAACTGAGCCTGCAAACTACCCCTTCTCTGCATATTGTTTGTCGTTCTCCAGTTGATGACAGGCACTCGAGAGTAAAAGCTAATGGGTATTGGACGGAAACCGGTTTGGTCAGCGAAGAAGAAGATGGGTTCGCTGGAAATGGAGGTTTGACTAGAAGGTTGGCTTTAGTTTCAGCGGCGTGCTTGGTTTCGTCAACTGGTGCATTGGGGTTCTCGGGAGAGGGAGTGGCCGTGGTGAAACAAGGCAGTCTCGCTGGGAGGATACCGGGTTTGTCTGAATCTGATGAACAAGGTCGGTTTTCTCATTATACTAGCTTTGTTTTGCTACACTTATGCACTGGCCAGATCTTGATTAGTTGATGGATTGATTGAAAACATATATTTAGAGATGGGTTCGAGGTCTATAGTTCAGTCAGTCGCCAACAGTTACCATCTATGAATTGCCTAAAATGAGAAAGGAAGTGCTCACCTGCTCTGTTGTCCCTTAGCCTTGCCAATATGATAAGCTTGACCCTTCACCCGTGCCGCTAACAATTGATCCTCCTCTATGAAGTTTAGGCCAAGAATCTACATGCTTTGAGCCGCAATTTGATAATTTCTACTTGCTCTTGTGAAATGAACAAGAAAATCACTTATGATAAGAGAAGCTTGTACTCAGACAGGTTGGAGGACATACCGCAGACCAGATGACAAATCAGGAGGCCATGGTGTCGGATGGAGTCCTATCATCCCATATGCCTTCGCAGTGCCTGAAGAATGGGACGAGGTGCTCATTAATTAATACTATCCCCGCTTTCCATATGCTTGCATAACATAGTTCTGATACAAAACAACAAAACTCAGAGAGGAGAAAGAGGGACAGGAGAAAGAAGATATGAAATGAAAGAGTGAAAAATTATTATGAATAAAATCTCTCCATAGAACTCAAGAATTAGCTTTTGGGAATTTAGATTTTCCCTTCGTTATTCCAAGTCAGCATAATACCGTTACACATTTGCTTTTCTGAACAAGAACAAGCTTTCCCTTTGGTGTTCCTGTTCCAGCAATCGTGAAAGTGACTAATCTATACATCACAGGTTCCAGTGTCAATTGCTGATCTGGGTGGCACAGAGATAGACTTAAGATTTGCCAGTCCTAAGGAAGGACGCCTGTTTGTCATTGTTGCTCCTGTTCGCCGATTTGCAGATGGTGAGTTGCCCAGAACTTTGCTTGTTACTGGTTGCGTTCTGCCTCTTGTAGTTGCTTACTTGTATTCCTGAGGTCCTGAACAATGGAAGGACATGATTACTCCACTTGAATTGTTAAACTGGATTTGTGGATGCCTATGACTATTCCAAGAGTATCTAAACATAATGCACTCGCATGAAATCTTTGCAATGCAGATCTAGGTGAAAATGTGACAATTGAATTAATTGGAACTCCAGAAAAAGTGATAAGTGCATTTGGGCCAGAAGTTATTGGAGAGAACGTAGAAGGAAAAGTCATGAGTATGAGCGTGGCAGAACATTCTGGAAGGACATATTACCAATTTGAATTGGAGCCACCGCATTGTCTTATAACAGCAACCGCAGCCGGAAATCGCCTTTACCTGTTCAATGTGACTGCAAATGGTATGGAATTTGACATATGATCACATGTCGCATTTCATAGGGAAAATATTAATTGCTTGGATGAATCTTGACCCTTGCAGGTCTTCAGTGGAAGAGGCATTACACTGATTTGAAAAGGATAGCAGATTCATTTCGTGTCGTATAACTGGAATGTGCTCTTCTTGGGTGTAGTGTGGAAGTTACCCTTTCTCTATGATTTTGTAAGAGACTTGTGGTGACTATAATGGGCAGCGACAGCGTGGTTTTTACATACCGAGGTAAAAAAAATCGATGAATTTGATATAGAAATTTTTCTCTCACAAAAATCTCCAGCTAGAAACTGTCCAGTAGCTATCTGAGTGGTTCTGTTCTAATTTAGAGGAGAACCAGGTCCACCAACACAACTCTGATGTTCAGAGACTTTGCACTTCCTTTCTCCAGAGTCCAGAGCTTGGCTAAATCAAACTCCATTGATATCGAGCCTCAATTGCTTTTAAAAGTAGAGGATAAGATTTGGTGAATGTTCCTCATTCACATGAACAATGGGGACCTTTTCTTTTTCTACATACACCTGCAGGAGCAGCAGGCAGCACGATGCAAGTACTAGACATGCCTCTACCAAGTTTTTGCAAGCCTGATGTAGAATAGCTTTAGCACTATGCCCATGGCTAAAGACACGACAATTCTCATCTCTTTGCGTCAGCCCAATGAATATCTTCTACCATGTAGTTGGGCCTGGTGCTCTGACTTGGAAGCACAGTTGTTAATAGACTTCGCCACTGGCCAGTACCGTAGAAATTTAGTCTCAGCATATTGTCCAGTATGTCATGATATTTATTCCGTGATGAGTAAACGCCACTCAGGCCAGTAAACCTCCCCTCTGAGCATGGTATAAAATGGAATAAAATACTATGGGAGGAAAACTGGCCTTCACAGTCCCCAACCTTCACAGCCAGCAACCATTGCAGAACTGCATCCTGGCACTTTCTGAAACCCTTTGTATCCCATGACCAATCTCATCCTCTCAGCCTTCTCCCATCTATCAGAAGCAGCATAAATGTTTGACAGTAGCACATAATGAGAGTCATTATGGGAATCTTCATTACAATTAAGTGTTCTAATGTCCTTCAAGACATCCTCTGCCATCTCCAGATTTGAGTGGATTCTGCATGCTCCAAGCAAAGCACCCCAGACTGCATCATTTGGTTCCACTGGCATTCTCTTGATTAGCTTAAAAGCTTCTTCCAATCTTCCAGCCCTCCCTAATAAATCAACCAAGCAGCCATAATGCTTGACCCTGATTAGTAAGTTACATTTATCCATTTTTGAGAAGATTTCCAAGCCTTCATCCACAAAACCACCATGAGCACATGCCGATAATACAATGAGAAATGTTACTTCGTCTGGTTTCTGACCTGAGTCTTCCATCTTCATGAAAAACTCAAGAGCTTCTTTGCACTGTCCGTGGATGGAAAAACCCGAAATCATGGAGTTCCAACAAGCACAATTTTTCTTGGGCATCCCATCAAAAATTGATCTTGCTTTAGTCAAATCCCCGCATTTGGCATACATGTCAACCAGTGCATTCAAGACAAATTGATTAAGATTAATTCCCTTCTTCTTTATCATATCGTGTATTTTCTTACCAACATCCAATGATCCAGACTGACCACAGGCTGATAGGACACCGACCACAGAAACTTCATCAGGCTCTAATCCTTCAGCTTGCATTCTGCTAAATGCTTGCAATGCTTTGTCCGAAAATCCATTCTGGGCATATCCGGAAATCAGCGCATTCCAGTTCACCAAGTTTTTTACTGGAATTCTGTCAAAAATCGCCTCAGCTTCCTTCACATCACCTCTCTTGCAATACCCAGAAATCATTGATGACCACACAAAGAAATTTCTTTCAGGCATATCTTCAAACATTGCCCTGGCTAATTCCATCTCTCCATTGCTCGAGTATCCGTCCACCATTACAGTCCACGTCACCACATTCCTCATCTCCTGGGGAACCTGATCAAAGAGCCTCCTAGCAGTCATTGTATCTCCGTTCTTGGCAAACCCGTCGATCATCTCGATCCATGTCACGTGGCTTCGTGCCGGCATCTGTTCAAATAAACACGAAGCCGACTTCGTATCCCCATTTCTCAAATACCCACCGAGCATAGCGTTCCACGTCACAACATTTCTCTCGGGCATAAAATCAAACACCCTACGCGCATCGCCGATATCGCCGCACTTAGAGTACAAACCAACCAGCGAGGTACCCACTACGACGTCGTGATCAGACCCGAACTTGACCGATTCGGCGTGCAAAGATTGCGCAGGGCCAAGCAGTGCGAGAGAAGCCCAAGCTTTGGCCACCAAAGGAACGAGACCCAAACCGTAGCTTCCGTTGCAGCGAATCTGCTTGTACAAGTGAATTGCTTCCCTCGGCGCGCCCTGTTCAAGGTGCTTCCTCATGAGGAGAGACCAATACGGTTGAGCTCTGCGGTTCTTGACCGGGCTGGAGCGGGTGCGCTGTTCCTCGGTGTTCGGGTACGAGGTTCCTCCGTTAGTTTCTTGCAACTCGCGGGACAAACTGGGTCTCATGTCCGAAGAATCGTCGACTCTGGCTGGGACATGGGGGCGCGAAGAGGAGATGTTTCGTGCTCTTACGAGAGGCCAATCTCCATAACGATGACAAGGGCGCGCTCGCTCGGCTTCGCTTCCTCCGGACCAACTAAATTAACTGTCTTTCTGAAATCTGAATGATCAAAGATTACCGGCCTGACTATGGTTTTTCTAATGTTTTAGGTCATTTATGCGACGGTAACAAATGTATAATCTTGCTTACCAAAAAGTAAAAAAGAAGATGACATAAATGATTCATGAACTTTGATTTAATATGTAGTGTGGTCCATAAACTTTTAATGTATTTAATGTGATATCTAAATTTTAACTTAATATACAATATTATTCTCGAACTTTTAAATTATTTAATGTATGACATATATGACATGAGTGGTTACTTGATCGAATGAGTTTGGTAAGTAGCAAGAGTAACGTGGAAATATCCAAAAAGTGAGATTCGCTAGTTGGCAAGGCAAGAAATGATCAATCACACTGGTCGAGAGACATGGGCCAAACTCCTATGGGAGGTAGCAATTGGCGAAAACTGACAAAGCAATGCCACGTTGAGGTAGAAGGCTCATGGATCTAAACTTCTTTTTCCGGAGAAGAAGCAATGGACAGTGGGAATAAAAACCGGCTAACTCCATGTACAACTTTTGACTTAAATAAATTAGAAATGTACCAGATAAGCTTGTAGCTGAAAATATTATACATATGCAGAGGGCCGTCAATAATACTCGACCTGACCTGACTTTTTGGGTACCTTCTGGTTGGGCATTCTTCATGTTCGGGTAATAGGTTAACATACGGGTATTTTAAGGGTTTCTCGAATCGAACCGAGACACACTTGAATGAATTCACCAGTAAAATGTTAGTGCTTGGAACTAAACAAAACACGCTCGCTCTAAACCTTAACATACATGATACGCTCTCCTAAAACCCGACTCAACCCGGGTTTTTCGTTCAGGTCCTATGCGTTTCGGATCGGGTATAGGTTGGAGAGATCGCACATCTCTTGTAGCTCGGGTCCTATATGTAGCTCGAAGAGTAGAGACTCTGGATGATGGATGGGCCTCTTGGGTGGTTGAGCTGAGTTAGAGCACGAGTGGCGTGTCCTCTATCACCCCACTCCGTGCTAGATTCGACACAAAAAGTTCATGAGGAGAAAATATTTTATATACTTCATATGATGAGTGTTGTGGTGGACGAAACCAATTACGGTACACAGAGCTGTATTAAAATTTCACGTCGTTAACGAGGCTAAATGTAAACTCCGCAGATTATTGGAATGCAATTGACATGATTCGGTGGATTTAGGGTTTGTTCGGTTCGGTTTTTGGGGAAATGCTAAAGCCTTTAGCCTAAAGGGTTTAGGTGTAATGTAAAGGCTTTTTGGTAAACTGTAATTGAAAAGTGCCTTAAGAAGCAATTTTGGGGAAATGCTTATGGTAAATATATATTTGGAAAGTTCTTTGTGTGACCGATTTAAGTTTTTCTAATTTTAATTTATTTAAAATTGAAAAAAAATAATAATGGTAACTTTTATATTTTTGCATTGAGAGTAATGTACAAGCCCCCTCTAATGGAAAAATCAAATTTAATGAGGATTCGGTTCATCCCACACGTATGCTTCATGGGCAGGAGTTGTCGGTAATGTTGCTGGCGGAATCTTGATTCGAATTGTTTCAAAGACCCAACATGCCTTTTTTTTGCATCGGGCTCTTTCATTAACTGATCGAATATTAAGAAAAGGTATCAAAGATAATATACAAGCTTGTTTTATAGCAATAGTAATTAATCGTTGTTGTTTTAAGATTAATCTATTTACCCGTCTAGATAATTGATAATTGATATCTCTTAAAAATGAAAAAAAATAAATCAATGAATATTCGATTCACAACAATTCCTTCCTTTTCATATAAAAAATCGGCATCGTCATTAATCATTTGAGATAGTATTTAGTACCTATACGAATGTACATAGGTTTATCCTTTCCCTTTCCCCCACTTACATAAAGTAAGAAAGAAAGGCAGGATTACATGCATTATGTTAGATATCAACGAAAATCAATTCTGATTTCAAAAAATACGCCTCTTAAAATTGACATATTAACAAATTTATAAATAAAAAAATCACATCAAAGTGGATCTTTCTCAATTAAAAAGAGAATAATTTAATTATAATAAACATGTTCACACATACGTGGATCTTTCGCTAAACATGACTATTACTTCGTTGTTATTAGCTCAGCAAATGCCATGCAAAAGACATATTACATACCAATTCACGCATCTTCTCACGGGCCAAAAAAAGAAAAAATTATGCATCTTTCTCTTGTCCATGCTTGCAAGTTGCAACGAGAAGAAAATCACTCAGCTTGCAAACGCTGTGGTTCCATTTTTGATAGTCCAAACCACAACCACCGATTGTGGCGTCCTTGTTCGTAATCACTGACCGTGGCATCTTTCTCTCGTAACTTCGCCCTGCCAATTATATTCGAACTTACCCATTAATCAAGAACTTATAGCTTCGTCCTGTCAAGATCATTTTAAGAGCTAGTGGCATTTTTGTCTAAATATGTTGGTGGTTTCACAGCAAGATCAGCATTGAGCCACACTGTGTACACCAGCAAAATGAGAGAGAGATGTGAAAAAGCTAAGCTGCCCAGTAGAAGCAGGCACGGAACTCCATTTCAACTATTAAGTTCAGTTGGTTTAAGAAGCTCAACCGATCATTGAAACAAGTTTGTTCTTGATTATCTCGGACAGCACCCTTCGAACCAGAATTGAATTGATGAAGGTAAAATCCACGGGTCATTCAGTGGGCATTGTTTTATAACTATTCTTCAAGGTAAAATTCTATTTTATATCTCGAGTGTTTCAACTTAAATACTCGAGTCTTTCTACCAAAAAACAAATTTAAGTCTTGAAATATTTTTCTCTATGCATATATGTGTACAATATCTTCATACTATTAATAATTCAAATATTTTAGAATAAGGCGATTTCGCAAAATTTTTAAATGCCAATTTTTTTGCATACATTGAATGTGTAATGCACTTTTGCTAGTTCATATTACAGAAGGCAAGGGCATATATATTGTTTGATTGTTTGATGAAAATTAGAAGCAAACAGATATATCATAATGAGATAAATTTGGTAGGTTCCATCAAATCCAATTATAACACGCTCACCGGATAATTTCTGCAAAATCCACAGCCAAATTTTGGCTACGGAATCTGCTTGTGAGGCGCACATTAGAAAGAATCCCATGCTAAGCCTCCAAAACTTGGATTGTAACACTACATAATCCCACCTTCCAACACCCTCCACCTTTTCTCTTTATTTGGCCTTTTGAAACGTAAACATGTTCGATTTGGTAACAAGAATCCAATACCTCCTCCTTCATATTCCAGTTCACGACATGTGCGCGCACGTTCCGTGTGTCGTATCATCATCATCATCATCATCGACCGGCAAACTCCACTGTCGGTGATGGTGAAGTGACGCCAAGCCAAGCACTTGTTGGATCATACGGCCATTCCATAGATTCTGCGGGCAGGGTTTGGCGCTCTTGTCGTCTTTTAAGCTTTCCATATAATCTCGTGAATAAAAAGAACAAAACTCCGCCGTGTTGAACACAGATTGTCATTATTAGCTGGTGTCGAGTGTTACGCCTGTTTCAGAAAAAATGGATCTGATATACTTGACAGAAACCGACACTAATTAGGGAGATCACTAGTAGAGAGCTCAAGTTTGAACCCATTTACATATCCAGTTGGACTTACCTTCGCTCAAACACTTAAGCCAATGAGTTGAAAGTCAACTAGCGTCTATCACTTACTTCCCCACCGCACTAATTCTCCGATATAGGACACTTCTAACACAACTCGCACGTACATTACAATACATATAAATGGTCGAGTTTTCTGTTGCACGTAGTAATTCTTCGGATAATCACAAGAACGAACTAGAGAGAAGAAGAAATGATGGGCTTACTGGGACTTGGTAACGACCACCATGGCCCATAGTGTTAAAGGAATTCATAAACGAGAGAGAACCATTTCTATTATCGTATCTATGAAAAAGGTTGCCTCCCGAAGACTCTAATGTTAGTGCGTACTTGGTCAGGAAACTAAACAGATCGTTTGGGACAAGTCAATGTACCGGTAAAGGGTGAGACAAATCCCATCAAACCATCACTCTGCTAGCCCTCATCTCAAGAATCACAATGAAAATTGAATACCTCGTCATCGGAAGATTACAGCAATATAATTTAAACCCTAGCCGACCAAGACACTGTAGCTGAAGAGTTGTCCTTCAAAAGGTTAAGTCATTAGATTAAAAGCTATTTGGATATGGACTTTTACAGCATACGCCAAGGTTTGAGGCACTCGATTCTGCACACTCCACGCGTGCAACCCAACTTACCATCATCTTCCTCTAGCAAGGGCTCCAAGTTTCATCACCAAGCAGGTCACAACACAAGTGCTCAAATGGAGGGATCTTCGTCCACGGGCCCTTTATTGAACGTATATTGTAGCGTGACTTGTACCAAAGGGCACCAAATGCGGCCACAATGAATGTACGAAAGGGAAAGTAAACAAATTATTATCACTCCCCATATTTATTGCTTTGTATAGTGTGCGAAAGAGTCAAAAAAAACTTGGCTTATTCCATCTGGGTGTGTGCAAGACATCGTGTCAGGAGTCTGAGATAGCCTCATATGCATGAAACTATAAATGCTTCCGTGTTCGATCCAAGCCCCACTACACTCTGTGGTGCACTCTCAGCCATGGGAGGTTTCTAGGCAATTTGGCACTGTGTCCCCCCTTTTAGGGCAAGGTACACATCATAACCTTCAAGGTTTCAATGCCGGATATAAGTTCACCACCCATAAGATTATGATGGGCCCTTCTCAAATCGAGAGTGCCTTTGATCCCACATGCATGCACTAGGTGTTGTTGTCACTTTGACTCTTCGTCAAATAAGGATTTGAGATGGTAAAACTCACTTTGTTCTGAGCACAAGCTCTTTGGCATTACGCGACCTCGGATGGATTGTGATGTTGGCGATTTAGAGATAGATTGAATCTGTTGATCTAGATCATGGAGATCAACTACGAGTGCATCTTGACAACTGACTAATATTCTGAAAATGGCAGA